TGTAATAAATAAATGTCTACATAATATGTTTATCATGTTAGTTTTAAAGAAAATGTACTGTCTAATTTTAGTTTGCTCTTTAACTACGCGAGTTCGGATTTAGTCGCCAGTGTTCGCCTCGGGCTAGTAATTTAACAGAAACCATTTACACGTCCTACTGACACGAGGTACGATTGAAAAGTGATTTTTTTACGCTCGTACGAACACCTATCTCGTGGGCGTAAAAAGTCTGCTGACCTTGAACTTTACCGCGGCGTACAAAGTCTGCCCGTGCGAACGCACGCTAACAAGTACAGTGTTTTTTTTTATTTATAATCTAAGGTGGCAAATAAGCAAGCGGCTAACTGAATCCACCGAAATATTATAAAAAGCGACCGCTGCCCATAAACATCCGCAATTGCAGATGTGTTGCCTGCCCTTAATTGATGGAGGAGGAGACGCACATAAAAGAGGACTTTTTCTCTTCCTATGCGTCCCTCCGACGTCAAATCCACTTTTCCTTTCCATCATTTCCTCTTAGAAAAGGGTGGAAAGGGAAAGGGACTAAAATTAGGCCTCCGGAACCACACTCATCAGACGAAACGCGGATTTGCTTCCGCTTCACGCCTGTCTTCTGTGTGGTCATGGTGTTACACCGGGCGAGCCGGCCCATTCGTGCGAAGATGTTGAAGCGGGCTCTACCACTGTTCAATATGAATATTGTTGTCTTGTTCCATCTCTTAGAATAAATAGAGATAACGAAATCCTATTACAATTGAAATTAATATAAGTCTTAAGAATAGAGGTAACCTTAAGGTACAGCAAAGAATTATTTACGTTTTAAAAATATTTACCGCTGCTTTTTCATTTGGATGTTTCAGCAGAAATTCCACTTTTATATGTGATGAAACAAAAAAAGGGTTGTCTTAAAAATATAACTAGGAGAATTAAACTCAAAATATACGAAGAAATGTGGACAATAGGCTTTGTTTTAATTAACAACTGAATACCTTGAGCTAATTTCAGTGTCAATGAGTATACCTAGGCAAGGTATCACAAATAGTGTGTACAGTCCGCTGCAATAATATGTATACAGTTACAAAACAATAAGCCTTGATAGTCCTTTCGTTTGAAAAATACGTATGTATTTGTGAATATCGTAAATTATTGGTCGGAAGCATATGTGCATATTTATGAAATAGAATTCGTATACAAGTTTCTGAAACATTTTAAATGTAAACACATTTATGCAGCTGACTGTACATGGTGTCTTGTAAAATGTCTTGTAGAATATTGACAATTATGTATATGTGGTATTAAGTAACATTATTTAAAATTGCCAATCTGATGTTACCTTATTGAAAATCATTTAGAAAATATTCCTTTTATATTTTATATGAAATGTATACGTTGTGACGTCATACGGTCCTTACAATGGCCTTAAGGTCAATGACTCATGTGACATCATACATCAATGTTACTCACTTCTTAGAAATTTCATATCGGTTAATGGCGCAAATATGTCTACATCGTTTAAATAAATACATTGTCGTGGACTAATACCATAGGTATATTGCTCTCGAATTGTTTATTCTAAAGCAAAAAAATAGGGCTCCGACTTCCATATCTTCAATTCTGAATATTTACTATTATTTCCTTCTTTGCATTAATGAAATTAACAAAGAATCTATACTTCTTATTTTTTTTAGGGTCAAAAGATCTCACAGAATCTTTCATACAGATTCGTTTGCAGAACGATTGGTTATTCAGGGAGAGGAAGTGGGCTTGGAAGTGAGTATTGTCATTATATTAAATTAAATTTGGTATCCAAGTTTATAAGAGTTGTGTTTTTTCAGCGATCTGAAGAAGATAATGGCAGAAGAGTACGATTTCCCGACAGTGTTGTCGGGGAGAGAACTCTGCAAGAAATGGGCATCAACTTATTCTGTAAGTAATAGGGAACATACATGTATTTTTTTTCTTTTTTTTAAACGATTCTTCTATATAAACTAACGTAAATGAACTGTGTATTGTCAACACAGCGACGCCATATTAGATAAGCCACTTCTTGGACCAATAGTGTGCGTTTTAGAACTTAGCGAGGGAATTTGAAAAAAGACACTTTTTAATGATTAAATTTTGCCACTAAATCACATTACATTTAAAAAAATCTTTGCAGGACAGTATTTATTTTTTATTCTTTTGTATTGCATTACGTAGGAATACCAGAGAGCGAAGGCTACCAACAACAAGAACTGGGTGTACTTCACGTTGTTCGAACTGTACCTGGGAGAGGGCAGTATGAACCCCATCATTGATTGTAAGTCATCTACCTGGAATAACTAACAATGGTACAGTCGGGTAAATTCGCGGTGTTCACCTTAAAATAAAATAACTTATTCGTTGCAACGAGTCAAACTCCGCCTCTTTTTATGAATAACAGCAGCAAAATTCCCACTGTACCAGTTCATTAACTATACACCATTAGCTAAAAGATTTAGGTTACGAATATATCATGCGATCGTGTGTTCGAAAGCAATGGACTATAGTGAACTACATCTTAGTATAAAATTTAAACTTATTTGGAAATTATAAAAGAAATAATACTTCAAATTAATTGTTAATATAAATGCAACTTTTATAACAAAATGTGTTGCGGCGGACAGGGCAAGAGGAATGGGTGTTCAACTTGATCAGTTCGCGCACCGACTTACGTCATCTGTTCAGATTTACTAAGGATCATATCAAAGGATGGAGGTGAGTCATAATTAACTTATAACAATATCTTGATCTAAATATGTATTTGTTTAATCATACTAATATTATAAAAGTTGAAGTTTGGATGGATGGATGTTTGTTAGAGTTTGTACCCTAAACTGCTGAACAGATCTCAATGACATTTGGTATACATGTAGAGGATAGTCTGGAAGTACACATAGGCTTGGTTTTTTTTTTTTTTAATACTACGCGGACGGAGTCGCGGGCAAAGACTAGTTTATGAATAATTTTAGTAAGAAAGTGTTTTTTTTAAACGTCGTATAATAACAATAGATTAAATTTGTTCTAAGCCAGAGTTACATATTGTAAAAAGTATGTACTGAATAATCACGTACTGATTTTATTTTTGACTAATGGCGAACAAACTAAAACCGGACCCTACTTATATGCTAATCGAATGCACTTAGATCAAAAGTTATCGAGAATACAAAAGTATAAATAAATGACGTAATATTGTTTCTTTTTGTAGCCTTTGTTACTATTTGCGTAATTAAAAAACTTATTAGCCTCTGTCTTAGTAGCCTTTCAGACTATGCTTTGTGTCCATCCATTTTTCATTTATAATATAGTATGAAGTATGATATAATTGCGAGCGTCAGTGGCTCAGTGGTTTGAACACTTGACTTGTAATCAACAGGTCTTGGGTTCGAATCCCGCCGCCGTGTACCAATGTGATTTTCGATTTTTCTAATTTTCATATGTACATAATTTACCCGACGTTCTTACGGTGAAGGAAAACATCGTGATGCAACCTGCACATATCAGCGAAGAAATTCAAAGATATGTGTGAAGTCAACCAACCTGCACTTGGCCAGCGTGGTGGACTATGGCCTAGTCACCCCTTATTAGGGTAGGCTCCAAACCCCTCGGTGGGGACGTATAGTGAGCTGGTGATGATCATATAATTAGCTTAAAATATAATAATTACAATAACACTCTTTGTATACTCGTATTGTTCGATCGAAGTAAAATTTATGAAATAATTTTCGTTTTAAAATTGTTTTCGCCTGTTTCTTGCAAGAACCTGTTATAATTGGATATTTGAAGTGCGCTTTGATGCGATGTTGTTATTAAAATTCATAATTTTTTATCGTTACATCCCAAAAATAACACGACAAAGAACAGGTTCTTCATGTGAGCGCATAAATCATTTTAGCTCTTTGTTTCGTTCGGATATAGACTTCTTTGTGCTCTAAAATAACTGAGAACACTCCTAGTTAAATGCAGCATCGCTAATACATAGAACGCTTTGTGTCAAAGAAAGTGGTCAGCGCTTTGTCTTGTATCTTCTATCTTCTTGTCTTTAAAACCACGTGTAAACTTCAAAAACGAAGACATTTCGATGTTTCAATTTTAATAAAACAAAACTACCTTACCTACCTTTACCTACCTTAGTGAATCTGTTGAACTCTTATAAATAAATAAACACTTACGCGTTTACCAAGAGAGTTCAATAGATAACTAAAATAAGCATCTCTCTCTCTCTCTCTCTTATTTTCCTCTGTCCCTAAAGTGGGGCGTCCACAATACGCTCTGCGTTTTGTCTCGGACATCACAGCCTGATTGCCTTCAAAATTATCATGGTACTTGTTAAAAGTAAAAATCTGTTTACAATAAAAAGTTTTTTTTAATTTAATTTTCCTTTGTTCTGTATTGTTTGTTATTTAGTACGTTGCATACTAAATACTATAAAACAAATAAGTTCCGATCAACGTTTATAAGCTTTTAATGTTAACGATGCAGTTTAATATCTAGTAAAACAACTGCGAGAGTTTTATAGTTATGTTAATTTAAAAACAAGGCAGTAGTAAACTAATTAAAACATTGTTTATATGATAATGTAAATGTGTACAAACAATTAATAAATCTACATTGATTTTCCTCTAACTTTAGTTTTGTTTTGTATTAGCGAATATTACTAGCAATACAAGACAGTGGGTTCTCATTGGTGAAACTATAAAAGATTTATTCCTCATCCTAGTCTTTCGCCTTGAAGACATAGTGATAACAGTTTTTTTTTTGCTACTTTAAGGGATAATAATATTGTGTTAAATTTAATTTTCCCATTCGGTTTAGAGAAGTCGAGAGGAAGCTACGGAACATCGGTATACCTATAAACCACAGTCTGTTGAACATATCAGAGATCTGGGTGTACTTGTTGAAGACTTTTAAGGTGAGTTTATTTAAAAAAAAACGTACAGTGGGGAAACTGGCGGTGTTCCACCGTAAAAGGTACTATTGTTTGCACTTTTTTAAACGAGATGCGAAACAAAAATCAATACAACGCAGCATATAAATGTGTGGACGAAAAAATGTGAATTAGTGATTCTTTTTATTATTCCTACGTTTGCATTTAATTAGTTATTTGTAGGAAGCGGAGTTTGTCTCGTAATGAACAAGGCAATTCTTCCTAAAGTGGAACACCGCAGATTTCCGCGATTGTACAGTGCTTAACAACCTTAATTAAAGATTGTTATATCAATATCTTATAACGTTGATAAAATGCGTACTCACAGTTTAGTATTTAGGATCCAGTAAACCAATAATCGCAGATAAACATACTAAGTAGACTCTAGTACTGTCTTCAGTGATTAGCCAGTTTAATGCTGCTTTAAACCTCATTTTTACCATTTCAATAATCAGAAATATTACAGCACTTCAATATTATATTCGCAGTGGAAGCAGAAATTCGCCAAACAAGGTCTACTTAACGAGCAATGGCCGTATTACGATGCGATGGCGAGTTATTATAATTTAGAGCAAGAATATATGTTAGATAAAACGAAGGAGGTGAGGGTAGAAGTGGAGGTGTTACCTTTAGAGGATGAGTACGAGGATGACATGAAACTGCTGGACCTGAAGCAGCTGCTGCAGGTGAAGCCGGAGCGGGAGTGTGCGGCGCTCTGCAGGTCCTGCTACAATGAGCCGGGCTGCCTCAACGTGTTCCAGAAGGATGACGATGGTGTCGAATTGGCGTACAAATTGAAGCTGATAGGAGGTATCCAGGTATGTAAGATAGAGTAAGGATGTAAAGAGCAAACAGCTACCTATTAAGATAGCGCGTGCTATCTTTCGACTGCATCACTTTCTTCAGTCGGGATCGTGGTCAAGCGAGTTTAAAAAATGTGAAAAAAAAAAATTTCGATATCTCTGATAAGGGAGAGGGCATTTAAAAATTAGTCTATTTTACATTAATGTGCATTTTAGGGAAATATAAGAAGAAAGGTAAACATCAGGATATTGGTGCTGTGTAGATTAGCCTTTGACAACAATTTCCTTGTTAAATAAAACAAACTTAAAAAGTATATATTATTCTAGATAATAATCTATCTCCATTATTGAAGATTCCATGTAAAATACATCCATCCATACAACCATTCACATATGAGTAAGAAATAGTATGTACGTAAGTCTTATCAAAATGAAGTAACTTCGAAGATCATCGTTCTTAAATATTAATTTTTGAGAAGAAACTATGATCCGATATAATGGATATGGAATTTAATAACACCCTTATTGTTCCACTAAAGATTTACCATTCATTGGGTATTTCAATGAAATATTATCAACATTACATAATTTAAGGAATTGTATTTTAGACGAAGGATTCAACATTTTAATTTTAATTTAGATCATGGTATTATGATTATTGTATCGAGGCTTTCACTTTTATAGAAAGAACTACATTAGTATTCTTTACAGTTCCACGACTTCAAAACCATAATACTTTTGATTGTTCCAGGTGGACCAATCTGATAGCTTACCCTCACAGATCTGTCTAAATTGCTCAAATCAATTAGAAAACGCATACAAATTCCGACGGAAATGTCAAGAAATAGATCGTCAGTTGCGACACAATTGTGTAGAAGATAGAATCAAAGTAGAACATATAACAGAAGCTAATGAAGGTAATGCATCAGATATGCATGAACGGAGAGCTAGCAACGAATCAGACTCGTGTCCTAACAATTTTCTTATATCGATAGATAAAAAACCAAATGTAAAAGAAGTGAAAACTGATAAACAAAATTTAATAAAGAAAAAAAGGAGGCCTCGAAAAATGATATATCGTTATTGGAAGGTTTGCGAAATTTGCGGGAAACATACGAGCAATTTGGTCGCCCATATGGATATGCATACAGCTGGGAAGGCTTACGAGTGTGATTTGTGCGATAAGAAATTTAAATATAAAAGTGGTCTGCTTCTACATAAATCGACTCATAACGCAACGCCGAGGAAGACTTGTGAAGTTTGCGGGAAGACATTCCACGTGTTGGCTCAGTATAGACGACATTTTGCGTATCATGCGAATGAGAGGAAATTTAGTTGCGACGCTTGCGGGAAACGGTTCAATTCGATGGAGATATTGAAAGTTCATCAAAGAATACATACGGATGAGAGACCTTTCCCTTGTCCTGAATGCGGGAAAACATTCAGAACTGCTGGCTGTGTCAGTAGACATAAACGTATTGTGCACAAAAGTTCAAAAACTAAGTGAAGTTGTATCTATTTTATATTTACTTTTGTTATTCTTTGTATTATGTTGCATTGATGAGTATTTTGACAATATAATTGTGGGAATTAATGATTTTTTTTATTTGCCTAATATAGCATCTGCGTGCAATCACGCATACCAAGCTTTCGTTCCATTTTTACGTTTAATGCGAATTCAAAATGGTTTGCGTATAGATTAGTCACGCCCACTTCACAAAATAATCTACAAATCACATAAATAACAGATTTTTTTTTCTTGTATTTTAGTAGTGGGCGAATATGAAAGTAGTTCTATTGTGGATGAGCTAATTTGTGAAAAGCAACTTTCAAATATGATATCATTCAGAATAAGCTAATAGTCGTGTCACCTGAGATATGGTTAGTCTTTGTTGATTTAACCGAAATCTTTGAAGAGCAACGTCCTACGTTATCTTTGCTCCGATGCTTTTGTTTTGTTTATATTTAAGAAAATTAATGACTTGATGGACAGCTGTTTAATGTTAGGCTACCGAATATAAGATACTCACCGTAAAGAGTTATTGAGGGAAAATTTAGACCCGACTTGACGGTAGTAATTAATTTATTTCATTTTTTTGAAAAACAAAAGTCGTATATCTTTTTCTGAAGATTAAAGATAGTTCTGATCTTTTCCCGAAACTAAGAATATAGAATATCGGTATTCTATATTCTGTATTGTTTTTTTTTTCTTGGCTTTTCTTGCAATATCATTGTAATTTCCAATCTTGTTTCTTGATAGATAAGTAGAATTTTTTTAGTTATACCTTTGCACCTAACAGTTGATCCTCAAAATTATGAAAAAGTAGGTTTTAATTATCTCCAGACTACAGTCGTCACAGTGTCGTGAGGTCGTATCGTAGTCGCGTGCAGTAAAAGCGCACATCGAGGAGCTACAAGCACGCATTCGTTCACCCTGCATGCACCGGCGCCGGCGCAACCGCAAAGGTTCATCGATCAGTTCGCGACGGACTGCGCGCGCGTGCAGTTCTGTGACGCGCGGTTTGTTATTACGAAATAAATTGACATATAGAAATCGTGATTTTCGATTTGAATAAATCTCCGACATCGTTATGAAAAGTTTGGTAAGTCTTTTTTTTAGTTTTATTACCACATTTTTTATAGAAAAGTTTAATAATAAATTTATGAAAAAAATTGATTTAAAGCCGTTAATTGAAAACAATTGGTAATGCTGCATTATTAAGCATTTATTAAAAAAAAATTGTAGTAGTGTGCCTTGTTCTCGGATTTACCAATCCAGTTGTTATTAATATAGTAATCATCTTAATAGTTGTAAGCATACGCAGTATTTACAAGCAACATTCGTATATTTTATAAACATTACAACTTTTAATTGCTGTAATTTATTGCGATAATTCCTATCGATTTTGCATAATATAGTTAAATCGACATATTAAAATATTGTTTGAAAAACCCATTGAATTGCAAATAAAATCAATCAACACAAATAACCATTCACTTTCATAGGTTTATACCACACGTGTAGGTAACGACCTAAAAAAAAATCAAGTTTCGAAGGGCAGGCATTTCTAGAGTTGTCATTAATTCTCGTCTCATCAATAATACCTAGCTATTGATATGAAAGTTTATTGCCCTTAGCTTCCCTGCCGTTTTCGCGCCTTCGCCTTTGTGACTCTCCAATTCACTCTTATTTTTTTTATTTCTTGGAAAACGGAACTTCAATATGCCTTTGTTATTTATATATTTTGAAAAGTTTAAGTATTTAGTATGTAGTTTAAAAGTAAGCTCCCATTCGCACTAGCGCTTTTATAACGCGCGTTAAAAAACGATGAAATAGAGCATATACATTTTCATGTGCTTAACTACATACCTTTTTCAACGGCAGCGTTTTTAAGTGCGACGCTAATTTATGGCGCAGTCTTAATTTTGAGCATATATGAGTATTATATAGTATGTATATAGTGTTATATATTATATATATAGCATATATCGAAAGAGTGATTTTTAATCGTACCTGAGAGCATTAAAAAGCAAACGCTTCAAAAAAGCGCCCGTACGAATGGCGACTAACAGAGAATTTTATAAAAACATAAATTTATTTGTTGCCCAATTCAAACAAAACAAAAGCAAATAATGTAACTAGTGCCAACTAGGGGATTAAACACTAATTTAAATTGGATACTCGTAATAAAGTAAGCAATCAAGAATCATATAAAGTAAAGCATAAGTAGGCATCATATGCAATAGTGATTATCTTAACTACTCTGATATAACGTTATAATATTCAGCCAAAAGTAGGTTAACTTCTAATGTAAGAGATACAAAAGTGTTGATATCATTTGTGTGAGACGGGAGTTAGAAATTGCTTGGTGACTCCACTAATGCAGAAACATCAAACAATATAGCACGGAGTAACACCGAAACAAATTACGTCTTTATTACACGACGATAAATGAGGTTAGATTTTCTTGAGTTGCAAATAAAAAAAATACATATCCAATGTTTGTCTATTCTACAAATGTGCCTTTTGCCTACATAGACAACACCGACTCTACATTGTTAAAACCGATTTTCCGTAAAGTCCGCATAAGGCGTGCCCAGCTGCAGTCTGGATTTCGGCCAAGGTCCACACTCAGCAATTCTGATCTCGGATTCCTTTCCCTTTGTCACTAACGTCATCTTTGGAAGATAATTTTAGACATTTGTCTAATTTTGAACATTTGCGCGGTAATTGTTGTGTGTGACCGACTTTTTAATAGACATTTTATGAATTCAAAATGTGGTCGTTTGCAAAAAATAGTAAAATAAGAATAACAACCTTTTTGATCCCTAAAAGTTAAAAATCCTTAAAATAGATTTATGTTCATGAAATATTACGCGAATGCCCACTGCAACAGCAATTGCGTAGGCGCATAAATACTTCTTTGTTTCTTATCATAAGTAAATAAATGTGTACACTATTTAATAATACATAGTAACTAGCTAACGGTTTGAATAGTTTAGCACAGACAACGAAGCTTTTATATTTATTTTTTTACTTCCTTTCGAACTAATGGTCCTTGTTATGTACGCATTCATTTGTTTTAGAGGATATCCCTTTACTTAGAGTAACAAAAATCTTTAAAACCAATGCAAACTGTAACACTTTGGCTGTTAGTTGACCAAACACAACCTAGTCGTCTTATCTGTTCAACTATAAACATCGCAGACCCATATTTACAAGCGGTGCGGTTTTGATAACCGCCGTATCACCTTTGTTTTTGAGTAAAAAAAAGTGTGACGTTCCAAATTTAAATATTTCCTTAAAAACCTACGTTTAATCGTCAAGCTTTAGAAAATCGTATATTTATCCAATCTTTTCTTTTAGGATAGAGAATTTATCTATTTATTGTCCCCTGTAGTCTAAGAATCTATGTTTTAGATTATTTCATTGACTTGATTATGGATAGTTTATAAGAAGTGATTTATTCCAGCTCAGGTCAAACGTGTTCCCGTTATAATCAAACTCCGTTATGCATTACACTGCGCTACTGCACCACCCAGCCGCCATTTTGATGAACAGGAATATTTAATACATAATCTGTATTATTAGCATTGGAAGACAAAGACTAAATATCGGCATCTATGCTTGTTGAAAATTTAATTATTTTTTCATCCAATTTTTGGTGTGACGGTTGCCATGTTTTACTAATTAGATTAACGACGCACCCTATAATCCCAACCCTATGCTTATGGAGCTGAGTGAACTGAAGTTTCCTATGATCTAAAGGCGAGATTTCAACCGAAGCGGCAGACGGCGACTGAATGACAGATAATAATACTTTGCAGAATTAATTATAATTAGTATAAAATTGGTTCCGATACACGACTGCACTTGCTGCGTAGACACAAGACTGATATTGGATCCCTCAAGACACGTGTAGAACGAAAATTGATTCGTTCGAAGATAGTACAATGTACGTACGAGCTCTTTAGTCGGTCGATGAAACGAATTCCTATTAATACCGCTACCCTTCTTGTGGTGAATGACGTCATAATGCGTTCAAGTCTCACCGGCAATCGAATAGTAAATGCATTCAGATTGAGGCAAATGTATCTGCCTCACTGGATGACGTCATATGGTACACTTCACAATCTTGTAACATCTATTCGTGTAACAATATGTCGGTCTATTAAAAGAAAACTTTGTTATAAGAGGATGTGTTAAGATTGCTTATGGCTTAAAAGCCACACAGCGAGTCCATGGTTATCGTTGTTCTGTGGAGTTCTTTCATTTTTTAAATTCTCTTTTAAGAGATTTTGTCCCCATTTTCGACATCGCCATCGTGCTTTGTAACGAATTTAAAGAAAATTTAACATTTAAATGACTGATAAATTTGTTATTTTGAAGAAAATAATGAAGATGAGAGATAAAGAAAATAAAACACAGATAAAGCTTCCCTTAAAGTATGAAAATACACTTAATGTATGGAAGTTTTGTAGTTACAAGTTACAACAGCATATCCAACTCAATGGATTCATTTTACTAGACTATTGCGCATACGCACGTCAATTGAGCTGGTGTTTTATCTCGCAATACGACTTCATTGAGTGCATACTATTTACGTTACAAATAGTTACAAATATTTATAGAAAACAACAACAGTTGCTGTGTCCTTGGCCGTCTAGTTCCATATATTACACACAATACAGCAAGGTTTTTATATTCCCTATCAAAATGTTCCTAAGATGTGTTACCAAATACAATCTGATAATTCAATATAAGTGCATCTAAATTAGAGTTTGACTCAAAAATAATAAAACCAATCCAATACTGACTTTATTAGGAAGTTCGTTTATTTGTTGACATCTAAAACGCAATCCACATAATTGGTTCTATATTTTAAAAGCGGTACAAAAGAGTATACGAAGCAACATTAATTTAATATTTAATCCCATCTAGATCAATAATTTTCCGTATACAATACCCTCTTTATAAGTCGGGTAAAACTAGAAATAATAGTAAAATGCAACAATAGGCTTTGCCTTATTTAAAAAAAAATCTTTTCGACTGAATTATTGTTATTTCTTCGGTGATAATACATAGTAACATCTCTTGATCCTCAATATTGCAAATGCAACAAAGCTTCTGCCTATTTCTAAACATAAATACATTCTTACTATTCTAATCCTTGTTAAATCATTCGAAGATCTTATCGTATTTTCTAAAGATTTCTTACAAAACATCCTAAACAAATAGAACCTATATTCTCTAGAATTATACTAAACTCTACCGTCTTCAGTATGAATAATTTCGACAATGTGACCATAGAGATGATGAAATATTTTTATCTCAAATATTCAATCTTTTAACATCAAAGTGTATTTTATTACTAGTTAAAATTTGTACTATAAATTTAACTTTATAGTTATAACGACTGTCCGATGCCGCTCTAACCACCTCGTTATAAATACGTTAACCGCGACTTCGGGAATACGGCACTTTTCAATTTACTGCCAGTAAAACTGTTACCACGGAATAGAGAGTGTAACTGGTGTTGTGTTTATTAACTACGAAGTAGTTAATGTAACATAGCTTTCTATTAAACATTTCCAACAGGAGTAATCGTAAATTGTAAAAGAAAATATTTTCATTTCAATCAAACTTTTTAGGTTATAATTAAATTGGACGAGAAATTATGTTAAGCTAAACATTATTGATTGATATTTCCCGAGATAACATATCTAGTATCATTTCATCTACGATTTGTGTAAAATTCTTATCTACATTCCCATAAACAAAGATCTACAATGAATGGTTGTTTTAAAAACCTAAGGTTATTCGACATGGCTTTGCGATTATGATTAATTCAATTCAATTTGCACGCCCTTGCAGTGCTAGTTCAATGGTAAACCTTTACCATAACTCACGTAGGTTTAAGTACAATACCACTCTCATAACATAATAGAACTAACCCTCTTACAATCCCAGTATAGTCTTACATTTATATGTTATCCATCCTGACCAATATGACCAATATGACCAATATGACCTGATAATGGTATCAAGTGTAGTAGTGATAGTATGAATAGAGCGCGATCTAGCGACCACCCAGAGCGTCTAGCAGGAAAGGGAGCCATGAGCCTGCGAATTACACACAACACTCTTTTCGCCCTTCTTTTCATGGTCTAAAAGAGGGCACCGTTAATCTTGCCCTGATCCACAAGTAAAGCTAAAACGTGCACTGAACAAGAGTCCCTTCACGTAAAGTCTACGACTAGCAGAAGCCTAACTGAAACATATTTGTAATTCGTTTAATTTTATTTTGATGTGTACCAGTAGATAATAATTAAAACTATCGTTTACACTTTTAGACTAACCCAAGTGTTTGAAAATAAACAAAATAATATAAAGTAACTAACAAGAAAGTAGATGTAACAAAATAAACAGCAAATACACAAGCGACAATAAATCCAAACACCATTGAATAGTTATCATTTTCTCCTGGCAGATCTTTAGCTAAATTAAACGGGAGCATGATGAACATGTAGTTAAAAGTGACAAATTATTTTTAGAAGTCTCTCGGCGACAGTCACGACACCCGGCTACTAACACCTCTTGACAGTTAACATCCTTAATAAAACAACCGGACAAGTTATATCAAATTATAAAGATAATTAAAAGTGATTTATAGCTACATATGGCATAGATTTTATACCGGCAGATATATGACTAGCGTCCAGATTAGGCCTTCAGAGATCAAATGCGATAGATTCGGCACTTGATTTGCTATTATATGGTTTGTTTCGTAGTTCAGTAACAAGTATAATTACATGTTGAGTAAAGCCATATTCAACTTTATGTTATTGTAATGAGTATTGTAATAAGTGTGTAAAAGATTATTTGCTTTGATTAATTATCCAATGACTTATCACGGAAATAAAAATTGGTGACAGCTGTTTACTCTAAGTCCACTAAAGGCATATGTAGCCTTAAAACTTATTAAATATCTAAGGGCCATCTTAAATTATAAATAAAAGTAAAATAATTGTTTAGAAGCGAACGCAGTAAATCATTTCTACATATAAAAGTAGTTAAAAGTCTGCGTTGTTAATGAATGGGATCGTAACATTGAGTGATTAGAGGTGGGTTCATGCGATAACCTGACCCGCTTATCTAGTTCCCACTGGGCAGATACATTAGATGTTTATTGTTTATGAACACTTGTAGACATTTATCAAAATAATCCAAGAACAATGTTACATTCGTATGTCTAAATTCTTAATAAGTTTAGATGGATGGATTGCTTGTCAGAGTTAGTAGCCTAAACGGCTGAATTGGTCTTGATGGGATTTGGCATAGATATAGAGTATAGTCTAAAAAATACGTAGGCATAGGTTGCTTACTTTTATCGTTTAGTTTTTTTTCTTTCACGCAAACAGCCGAAGCTAGTTATTGTCTAAAAGTATAAAAATATATGAATATCACCCCTGAAGTATGAAGCAATATAAAAATTTATTAGAAACTTAATTGAATTTGAAATCACATTTGTTAGATGCAGGGATGTAATATAAAGGACTTGATGATGACAAATTCTTTATTTTCTTGGTCAGGCTACATTTCTTTATCTTTTTTCCAGAGGTTGTGGTGGTGCGTGGCAGCCATATTGCTGGTTTGCAGTCCACCGGCGCGATGTCGGAATGTAACGTAAGTAGGTTTTGATATATTTCGTATCGTAATCTTATTTCAAACATATACTAACAAAAAAGCCAAGCAATACAAGGAGGAAAAATCCTATTAGTTATAATAATTAAAAGCGTACGACTACAATCGACAGCTATCTCAATATAGTATACGGCAAACGGATGCTGCGACCCTAAGTAGACTTCCATCAGGCAGCGGTAGTAAGCAATAAATAACTTTACAAACTATTTTATCTTCTAAATCATTGGTTAATAGAATGTAATAAATCTCCATTGAACGGCTAATGTATACCGATAGCATACGTACATGTATTTACGTCCATTTCTCTTCTCTGTGGTTAACTCTATGAATAGAAACTTCGATGGATTATTTAAATTTACCATTGATCTTTTTATGAGAAATTTTATTACTGCGTAGGCGTAAAAATTTTGATTACATCTTTAACGGTTTAGTGTTAACGGGGAGTTGTAATAAAAAATATCAAACTCTCTCTCCTATGGTCGTAATGAATTACGTGTGGTTTAAACATCCTGTGAATCTAATGATGTGTATCACTAAACTAGCTGTTCCCGTGCGACTTCATTTGCATCATCATCATCATCATCATCATCACCAGCTCACTAACTGTCCCACCGAGGGGCTCAAAGCCCACTCTAATCAGGGGTGACTAGGCCATAGTCAACCACGCTGGCCCAGTGCGGGTTGGTTCATAATTTCATTTACATGAAATTATGAAATTTTATTTTATTGTTTACATTTGTCAAATTATCAATTACAAATGTCAAAATGACACGTCATGATGACAACCTTGCTTCCTTGATGTTGGCAGCAACTTTTGGTCTCTTTCCCACATTAGGGTTTTTATCCAAAATATTTACCCCCAAAGTTTAATTGCGTGAAAATATATAGCCTAAAGCGTTATTTAGAAATAATTATTCAAAAATATGTTGAAATTGTTGACATCTTAGGCAACAAAGAAGTGTGTGTTTACGCTTTATTATAATATATAGTAAAGATATAGATAGAAGAGAAATAGCGATAAATTTAGCAGCTTTACAAATAAACGCGGCATAAAGTTAAACTTAGGAATAAACTGAGTATAAGCAAAATTTGAACTTATATTATATTTGTAGAGTACTAATAAGTTTGTGGAGGTTTATAACTGTTGTGATGTCGAAAATAAACACAAGTTCGTATCAGCATTGAACCAGTGGGAAGCCTGGGTGGGTTACTAGTATGTTTCTATTTAAATAATTTAAACGTCTCTCGATTTTCTCTGAGCCGCGAACTAATTTATAAATACACGGTACGGCGATGTATCTCGCTTGTATTTTATTTTCGACAGCTATTGCATAAGTTGTTTAGTGATGTGTTAGATCAAATTCATTTTGTACCATTTAGCGGTTACTCTTGCGGTTGCGTAACGCGTCACCTTTCTCCCTGCGTAAGGCTCATTGTTTAAATCTTAGGGCCATTATGTAATACTTAAGTACTTCATTGCATAAGTATTCTATTGATAATTGTATATCAAATTATGAAATAATAGTGGTCTGTAACCAGAATAACTATTTTGGTGTACAGTAATAGCTACTTCAGAACGTTAAGAATAAAAACATACAGTCGTGAATTCGCACAAGTAAATTGCTTATTTATATATGATTTTAAGACAATTTCCGAAATATTCAACTTATTAATTTAAAACCGTCATGAACGACTCTAGTAGCACATCGTACAATAGTACTTTTTTAAGTTTATCGAGCAAGAAAAGACGCGCAAAGTATCTTAGTCTTATGACACAATAGTTTTCGCCCGCGACTTCGTCCGCGTGGTATTAAAAAACAACAAAAGCAAGTAGTCTATGTGCTCTTCCAGACTATGCTCTACATCTGCACGAAATTTCATCCAGATCCGATCAGTCGTTTATGCGCGTTTATAATATTAGTATGAAGTATGAAGTATGATTGTGGCATAGTATGTAAAAGTCATACAGGTCACGGTCCTCTCACTTCACATAAATTTGAATAACAAACAAAACAAGCCTCTTTGAAGGTACTGCGTAAACCGAACAATGGCATAAGTAACATTTGAAGCCGTAAACAGTTTAGTCAAGCTTAAAATAAACAGTGGAAAAGGGCTGATAACATAATCCTGTTAGCGGAAAAGTGCTTACACGTTATTGACTAATGAGTTATACGTACAGAGCTTTACTATATGCAGTATTTTATGCTGCAGATAACGACTTTTTTGTAATAAGCAATCGAGCTGCAGGCCTACTTGATATTGCGGATGTCTATGGGCAGCGGTCGCTTTTCATTTCGGTGGATTCAGGTGGCCGTTTGCTACCTTATAATATAAAAAAAGTGCTAATCGTTACCGATAATTATTTTAGTTGAATAAAAATCAAGTAATATTCTGTTCTATCGCCTACACTATTCTTTTTTTAAGCTCTCGAATATTTCATATTCTTTGTATTTGTTATAGCACGGAAGATATACGCGACGCGATGCTATCCCTAATCCACATGTTCCGGGTCTCTGAGGACAAGCTTGAGAGACACGAGTTCAGGGAGCGGACGTTTGGAGAACAACTGAAGAAGATGGTGGCAGGTCTGGAGAAGCGGCATAGAGCCCTCGAGCCCATGAAAGGAATCGTCTCCAGATTAGACGAGAGATTGTCCAATGTTGAGACTATATTATTCCAGGTAGGCTGTCGCATTTTTTATTAACTGTTCTTAAATAACATAAAAGTAACATATTTTTCTTTTTAACAACTAGAGACTTAATAAGACCATTGCAATTAAATGCTCACGTTAGCAAATATAACAAATCTGTTTAACTCCCAGAAAGAAGAGAGAGAAAAAGAACAGCGTAAGAAGACGGAAGATACTCTAGAAGAAATAAAAAAGTCGATCCAAGCATTAACGGAAACGGTGAAGAACGTAAAGCCGCAGCCAGAGACACCGGCAGCTGAAATGGAGAGCAACTTGACTATCAAAGAGGACCCAGTGACTACGAGACTAGACGGAACTGACCAGAAGTTAGACGCCATACAGAAAGAAGTGGAAGAACTTAAGAAGAGTTTGACCAAGGTACGTTTTAAGTTTACATTTGTATAATCGTTCACCCCTCTCATTCTTAAAACAACTTGAGGCGAAGACTTGTTTAATACTAGTGTTACGGTAGGGGAATTTACCAACAATCAAAAGACAAGTTCATGTTGTGTATCTCTGTCTTGTCAATGATAATGAGAGAGATGAGAATATGCTTTTATAAAATTTGTTTTTGTTTTTTTCGCCCAATTTGTTGTTAATTTGTTTCGGCAATGAATATGTGACAGAAATGCATTGATGAATTTTAATCGATTCATTATAAAAATTACAATGTCTCTGATTGCCTTTTTTTTTTTTGGATTAAATGTTTTGGCTGTTTTCCTATATTTTGCATATTATTTGGCAATCGAACGTTGACTTGTAATATCGATCATGTTTATATTGTAAACATGTTCATGTTTTTCTTTCCTGTAATTCTTATCGTAACTTTGACCTTACAAAACCAAAACATTATTGTTATAAAGTAACAGGAATTGTTTACAGCTTTACGTTATTTTATTAAAGATATATAAAGATTTTATTTTATTGATATGAAATCAAAAAGCAAGTCTACCTTTATATTGTGGTCACTTTATTTACATTAACAAATTCCTGGTTAATTTTATAATCTTTCGTACAAACAGGATTCATTACAACTGATGTGTTCAAGCATTGCGTCCGCATCAAATCCTTTCGAGAGACATATCTCTGAGGCGGAGAAATTGCTGAACAAATACGAGTTGAAACTGAACGAATACAACGGCACCGCCAGCAAAGTGATGACGGACTTCGTGCCCCTCAGCGAGGTCGCACTCGCAGACGACGCCTGGCACAATAAGATGACCAATGGTGAGTACAAAGATCATTGAATTGTATAGGGTGCGCGTGGGCCAAGACGTCGTTGTTCTCCTACGTCGTACGTTTTTATCTATTCAAAAGGGAAAACAACAACTTCTAAATATAAACATAGAACAATCGACCGATTTTTTTTAATATAATGGATGGAATAAACAAAGAACTAGACAAGAGAGGGAAATAATAACAAAAACATTTGAGGTAAAATTGAAGATCCTAAAAGTAAATTGCAATAATATTCACGAATCCTATGTAACTTTAAAAAGTATCACAAAAAAACAAGATATAATAACCCACCACCACCCATGGCCCCACCGACCCACAGGTTATACGGGCCGAAATGCGGAAGGACACACACGGTCTAAACGCATGCACCTTCTGGACTCCCTACAAGTTATATTATGTATTTATTTGTTACAAGTCTCCCCTGTCTCCCCTTATGGGTGTGACGACACAATGGATACGAACAAGATATAATAGTTGTATCTTATCTAAAAAATATAGCATATGTTACTCAATGATAACTTAGCTTTTTAATGGTGAAATAATTTTTGACATCGACCCAGTAGTTTTTGTATTATTGGAATAATCTATCTTCGTTATAATATTAGTACAGGTATAGATAAACACGATTTGTGACGTAATTGTTCTCTGTTCTTTCAAAGAGTTATTAAGAAATTTTGTCCTTTTTCTGGTGACAATAGTAATGGAGCGTCAAGAGGCAGATATAAAGAAGATCCAGCAGCTGCTGTCGGATGCGGAGAGCACGTGGAAGGAGCTGCCGCGGCGCGCGGACACGCAGCTCGCCCTCAACATCACTCTAGAGAGTATCGAGACTATTCGACATGACGTCACTGATGACCGTAATAATAGTAAGGATGTAGTCAAGGAATTAAATTCACTTCCCACTTTAGATCAATCATACAGCACTCTGTCATCATAAGATTAGCAGTTCCACACATTCAGAGTAGTAAATGTTAACTGTCCCATTTCAGATCCTTACATATAGTGAAAAAAAATCTAATTTAAAAAGCCTCAGTTTATACTCTGAATGTGGATGTTAGTATGTAAACGCTTAGATCTCCAGTACTTTATAAATTTGATACAATCGATATATCAGAAATGTCCGTTATAGTTAGCTAACTAATCTTTACAGCAACATCATTAAATTCTCACCAATATCATATTGTCGCTTAACTTAACTTTAAAAGCGGAAGAAATAGACATTTATTCGGTCTACCTTTGTTAGCTGTTGAGAAGATATCAGCTAAGCTGCGAGAGATGAGCGACCGCCTGGCGACGACGAACGGCGACATACAGAACAGCCTCACGCAGAGCAACACGATGAGCGAGCGCGCATACAACGACATCTCGCGGAGCTACGCCGCCCTGCTCAAGGAGGTTACACATATTAAACCTCTTTACTAATAAAATACTGGCCACATCTAAAACTAAAATTAACATTTTATTCAATATGTAATACAGATTCATGGTTTTTATTTTAAACTAGCCTTCGCCCGCGACTCCGTTCGCGGGAAAGTAAAATAGTAAATAGCCTATGTGTTTTTTCAGACTATGCTCTACATCTATGACAAATTTCACCAAGAGCCGTTCTGTCGTTTAAGCGGCAAACTTTAAGAAACTTCCAAATAAACTTTCGCATTTATAATATTAATAATTAAGAAGTAGTAAGTAAGGCATTTATTAGCATTTCAGTCCTTCGAGATTCGAGTCCACACTTTCTAGTGCTGTAGTCCGTGTCTAAGCATACTAAAATTTCATTCAACAATTTTCCCATTGAACGTGTAATCTTTACTAGTATTATCACAATTCAAACGATTGAGTAATGTTTACGCAAATACGATAGACTTGCGCAGAAATCGACGAACAACAGGTTGTTGTTGACAAAACTGAGCCATTATTAAAACACGCAAACAAAGGAAATTTATTACCGATACCGTTATTGAGCGAATGTTTTTGAAATGCCACTTTATTTTAATTTTATCCCCACTGATACTGGGAAGAAAAAGTACCGTTTAATTATCAAATTGTCATCAAAGTAATTACGACTTAGGGACCTTCAAGGAACCAACTTACTTCTCATTTAAGGTCAGCAATGTATGTATCTACAGTTCCTCTAGAATAAGATGTCTATGGGCATACCAAATACCGTACCTCCTCCAACCATAAAAAAAACATTATTTTCTCATAACTTTTTATATTCTACCAGGTGCAAGCTCTATCAAAGAACGAGCACGTATTACTGCAGACTGCTGACAACGTGATCGCCAACAAGAAACGTATCGACCACGGCATGCACCAGATACTGCTGGAGATGCGGGAGCTGGTTAAAGCGCAGACAATGCACCTCAACAACACGCTCGTCACTAGGTCTGAGAACAAACTTCACAATCACTTAAAGATGACACTGGTGATTTTCATACACAAAAGTAAAAATTTCTAACCTCAAATTCTCGTAGGATGGAGAGTAAAGGTATTCTCTACAGACAAGGAACATGTAGAGGTCAAATTAATTATGCAAATGCTAATAATGCTATAAAGAGAAAAGATTTGTATTTTTGTATGTATTGAAATAACTCAAAAACTACTAGAAGGGATTTCAAAAATTCTTTCACCATTTAAAATCTACGTTATTTTTTTAATTCGACGCTGACAAAGTCGCGGAGAACAGCTCCCGTTCAGAAAGAAAAGTAACATAGAGAATTACTAACCTCAAATTATTATATGAGGGTAAAGGTAATTTTTACATACAGGAGACATGTAGAGGTCAAATCTTGCTTGGATGCAATGCAAATACAACGCTCAGAAAAAAATATACAGAATTGCTCCAAAAATTATGCCCATGTAATACCACAAGTTTTCTGGTAACTACTCTATTACAAATTTCACTACAATTTATCATGATTTTCAAAATACATTCAAGCACGGCACTCAAAGTTTTATTGTCATAGTAAATTCAGTTTTATAAGTTGGCTATAGAGTTCTTATTGTGATGAATTTAACAAGCAAATGTTAATAAATCAATTTGTTTTTAAATTCATAAATTGAGTACTAAAATCCGTTATTGGTTATATTGAAAAATACGTTCCCAGAATCGTTTAACCTAAATTACTTGATAGTGATTTGTAAGTGCTTCACAATTTGTTTCGGGCACGGGCTGTCAATTTTAATGAAGACTAATAAAAACAATTTAAAGACTTATTAGAAAAAATCTAAAAGTCATGATAAATTGATTTGGAAATATTCAAGAATCATTCTAATAGTCATACTTTACGATTGTTTAGTCAATGTAAATTAATATGACTGATTTTTGCAGCATCAACGCGACGGAATCATCAATAGTGAACAGTCAAATGAACGCGATGATGTCTCTAACGGCGAAGATCGAGTCGGAAATGACGCAGGTGTGGCGGCAGATCGGCAGCATGTACCAGCAGCTCTCCGCCAGCAAAGCCTCGCTAGACAAACTCACGGTCAGAACAACACTCATAACTGTTCTCATTCTCTCTCATTCTGTTACATGCTTTTTTATTATTGACTTGTACGACAATCAAAAATCATAATAATTATGTGCACTGCACCCTCAGTTGTGTTTGAAAGCTTGTTTACGTAGTTTAAAAATCATTAAACATTCCATTAAAACGAAACTAGGACAAGACTAGGGTGAGCTAACAAACAGTAACGTTAAAATATCAAATATTTAAAAAAACATGGACGACATTCATTACTATAGGGAATTTCATTACCCACGTAAAGGAAAAAAAACATTTTTGTTATGTGTTGTTTAAGTGATTATTTCATTCATTCTCTTTTAAGTGGGTTTTTCTCATATCGTGGCATTTCAAGTATTGTAATGTAATTAAAAACCCTATCACACATCAAATGCTAATTTACGTATACTTTTGCAGGGACAAACAGAACAATACGTAAACGGCAGCGCGGCGACTATGCAGAGCATGAAGGAAAAAGTAGGAAATTCACTCTTATGGCAATAGAAATACGGTTGTAACTGAATCTAATTAAAATAACCGTTTCTATTCCCAGGTGACTCTGATCACGACACGCATGGCGGAAGTGGACGATAATTTGAATTATTTACTTGGAAGACTGTCCCTCGTGACACAAGAGTTTAGTCAGATCAAGACCGGCCTGGGGGAGGCGCTCGACAAAGCAAAGTCCAATTTGCTAACTGTACAATCTAAACTGAACAGTAAGACTTAATTGTTACTCCAAAAATTATACCGAAACAGTCGATATAAAAGACTTAAAAAGAACATAATGCAGATGTAAACGAAAACTTGGCAATCATTCTTTATTTAAAATCTAATTAATTTTCAACAAATTGGTGCAATGAATTAATTGAATTGGTTTTTTTTTTAAAATTCGTCAACATCTGCAGTTGTTTCATAACCTATTCACACAAAGCTATCTTCATGTCGATATGTACGACTTTGTGGGTCAAGCAGTATTTATTGTCAGATGACAATGTCTTTCACAATTAAATTGTATAACATAGTAAATGTCTCGCTTGCAGCCAAAGGCGCGGGCCCTCACGAGATCGACAGCGAGGAGAAGGCGACCAACTGATGCAACAAATCGTACCAAATAACGTAGATCTATTTATCAGTATAAGTTTATATGCAAAGTTCCACTTTGTATTGACTGATTTAGGAAGAGGCGAACAGTGAAATAAAACTTTAGAACAACTTTTGCAAATATTTAATTCTCTTTTATAATCGTGGGATCTATAATATTTTATATTGTACAAGTTATATGATACATTTGACATCCAGCTGTCACTTTTAGCGGACTGTCAAACTGACAAGTTGACAACTGATAAAGAACATGACATGTTTTGAATTTTATATTCTGTACATACAATCATACAATACCATATTTTTTATTGTTCTTAAACAATATTACACACAAATTATTTGTCTCACATATTGGTTATTTTATTTAAACCTGTTTTACAACCTCAATTTCCTATGTGCAATATTAATAAATCATTTTTTCTTACGTTGATAAATTATTATTACAGTAAGTTCGTGCACATACAGTAAATTTGTTACCATTTCGCTATATTTTAATACAGAAAATATTTTATTAGTATAACATTGCGACATCTAAACTAATCATAATTTTGTGGATAAAAAGATAACCTTTTTAAAAAACGTATGAAAACAATATTGAATCCTGTATGTATGTATATTTTTATAAAACAATTAATATTTAAATTTTTTTGTTTATTCAAGATATATTATGAAAGTATTTCCAAAAACATAACACAATTATTACAACCACTTTTAGTTAAAAACTATGACATCATGTTTGATGTCACACTTTCAATGGAAAACTGAATTAAAAATCACACCAATTTCTCTCAGGAATGATGTAGACAGAATCAATGGATTTCCAGAATAATTTTATCATAAACAATGAATCGAAAATTGGTGCAGTGTGTGCTATACTTATAATAAATTTGATATCCAGTGTTAGTAAATTTTATCTATACGCATTTATTCTATAAAAAGTATCACACTTTCTTAAGCTACCAAAAATTTCGGTAGTTAATGTATATTGGTGTTTTTTTCATGAAAAAAATAAATAGACTGTATGTGGTTATGATTAGAAAATTTCCACTTAAAACAAAATAACAGAACACAGATTGTACATAGGTTAAGGTTGTACAACATCTAAAACATGACATTTTGTTGAAAATTTTCGACTTAAAGGTTAATCTCTAGACATTCGTTGTTAAAAAACAGCCTAAAATGGGTCAGTACTCAGTATTTATAGGCTAAATAAAATGCTTTGAGAAAACAAAATGTAATCACGCGTCCACGGTTAATTGTACCAGAAAAAATTAACATTGCAATATTTAAATGGAACCTCTTACTGCTTCAGTTTTTAACTGAAATAACTTCACATATGAACAAAACTTATACATTTCAATACAAAAAAGGTTTTATAGAATGTACTTTATAATTTTGACCCTGATATTGCAGGGCTGCTATAAAAGCGGTAATCAAAATCGTACAATCCCGTGGACACTAGGGAATGTATGGAAAAATGTATGTATAAAAAGGAATGTAAGATAAATCTAAGCGAACCAGTCGCTACAGCCATTTCACTTTGGAAAACTTACTATACCTATACCTACATATATATTTATAAGGTAGTGACTTAATAAAAAAACATCAAATTGACAATAACATGCCAAAATAATATTCATATCCAATATAATATTGTAAAGAGGCAAATTTGTTTATGGCAGTGGCTTTACACCCACACACAAACGGCACTCAACATCTTTTATACATGAATAAATATTATTTACATGGATATTGTTATACATACATGTTATTTTATTGCAAAAAATATATACAAACCTTAAATATTGTTAAAAAGCACTTATCAAACCAGCCCCGAACCCTCATCCAAAAATCCTATCCAAAAAGACAAAATGTGAAACATTACCAAGGCGATCTAAGTGAGAAATTAATTGTTAATTTGTGCTTAATTATTACAAACTTGTATTGATAAGCATATTTGGATATATCAAATATATTGTTGATGCAAACTAGATATAGAAACTTAATCTGACATTGAATATCCAACAAAAGAGTTAATATGAAGATGAGACAAAGATTAAAATAGTTGGCGGGAAAACGGATCGTGTCTGTGTCATCTACTCTTTATACAATGCGGTATCAAAAGAATAATTACGCGTCTGCGGCCTGCCCTCTTTGTGCGTGTATAAAATGTACCCCGGACGGGCAATACAAGAGTTCCCAGTCACTCCCGCAGACAATACTATGTACCACCTAACCCATATTCTACTATTTATATTGCATTAAGACATAACTATTTCCCGGTTACATTGTGCAGTAAAAGCAATGACGATGGATCAAACACTTTCAAAGTAAAAATAAATTAAAACCTCAAATACATAGCTTATTGCCAATATGAATAGAAGAATATATCCTATTCCATTCCAATATTAAGCTCTTGCTAACGTAATTTTTTAAAAAATAAAAATTAATACACATTGATATTACAGATATATAAATGACTCAGTAAGAAACCTCACGATAAAATATTCTACATTTCGATTCATATAAAAACGACACTTGCTATTGGTTAATCCATTTTACACTTCTATATTAACACCTATTCCTAAGCCACCAAACACTTGGTACTGAAGCTTCCTATCGTAATATTGTTACAGCCTAAATTTTATTGTGGCCGGATATAGAGGTGTTGACATACCCTAATACCGTTCACATATTCAGTAACTTTATCTTCATAATTACACTAAACTGGATCTTGATGAACTTGCATAGGAAGACATACAACTATACATATATATGCTTTCAATATGCAACTAAAAACATTGTTGATATATATATATCAATTAAACTGATATGAACAGTTAAAAAGGTTCCCACCAATGATTGCATCTACATGCACATATATGTATATGGAGAGGAATCAGTCCATCAATATGACTTTCAACATATAAAGTGTATGAAACATGTCTGCAAATGAACACGTAACCACCTCAAGGGACTCGAGGCACTTAAATGACCTTATCAGTAATGATATAACTACTATACTAATTGGTGATTTTTCCCTCGCTTCCGTCATGCAGATGACCCGTTGATACAAGTTACATTTAAAGCTATGGACATGTTTCATGTTCTATCTAACCTAAACATGAAGAAAGAAAGAATTTAGATGCACTTAACTAATTGCTTATTTATATGCACCTTATGTTACATGAACAGTTAACCAGTGACTTTACAGACAAAGTTTGTGTAATAAAATTAGTGTCCGATGTAAAAAGTGTTACATTGTGTTGTTAAAAAACTATACCTCCCCAGTGGGCTTTTTGAATTTAAACAAGTGCACAGTGAAAATATATAATTTATATAAATTAATTCATTCTAACCAGCATACATATGTTCATTGCACTTAGTTATGTTTAAAAATACCGTTAACATCAACCCGTATAACAACCGAACCTACAAAGCATTATATTGCAATCTCCACGCGTGATCTATGTACAATATCGACAAGTTGCAATAACAAAACAACAATTTTATTACTTCATGTATACTTTTAATTGTCGTACATTATACTTATGTACAAATTCAACGGGTTCAGCTCATGTTAAGTGAACATAACATTAATAGGGCTTTATACATTGCATGGCAATTTGACAGTGAGGCGGAATAGGACATTGGGATCGTAGTTCATATGCAATAGTCAATGGAATTTTGTATGAGGATAACAGTTAATTAAATAAAAAATAAAAATTTTGATCATTAAAGCACAGATGAAGGAAGAGGCTCATGCAAACTGCCATGCAAAGCGTTACAAAATATTTATCTTATGTACATATTGTCATTTTAAGGTAAGAATAAGGACTAACATCTAAGTTATGTGTGGGATATAAAAGGTGTTACGCGGGGTTTACCTCCGCGTGCTTTTGGAGGAGGGGCGCGAGTGGGAGTGCGTATGGGGGGTCGCGCCCCCCCCCCTTTCCTAACTGGAGCAAGAGGCGGCTGATACCGGCGACAGTGGGGAATCCCGCGGACAACCGGAAAGGGTTACCACAACCTGCAGAAGGACAATAAATCAATTCAGTAATATTTTACCTAATTGCAAGCCCTCAATGACTAGAGAGATTGTGATGTTAATTTAAATATTTTAACAAAATTTGCACGTGAAGTACTAGTTTCATTGGTGTATAATGTATCAAAATGTAATACAGTTTATTGAGATTGTTACTTTATAAAGACAAAGTAAATAATGAAGTGATTGTTACCTTTCGGCTGCCAGCATGATTCCGATGTTCACATAACCAAACTCCTTGCCATGTTCCAAGGTTTAATTTGCCGTCTGTGATTGGGATTGTTAGAGATGATCCTAGGAAACATGCTTTCACATGCGCTGGCTGTTGATAAAACATATAAAATAAACCTACTTGTAAAATAAAACGATAAAAAATTTTAAAAGCTTACAGGTCACCAAAAAATTATCTGTTTGAGACTGCTTGGCATGAATTCATTTAAACTAGTAGTAACATTTTGTCTGTGACTTTAATGGCAGGGAATTAAAAACTTACTAGGTAGTCTATGTTTTTTTACAGACTAAGTTCTTCATCTGTACCAAGTTTAACCAAGAAACAAGAAATAATTTCCAAACTTTTGCACTTATGAACTGTGTAGTTTTATGAAATAAAAAACGTTATTTGAAATTTAACATTATAATCCTTACGCTTCATTTATATTTATAGTTAAAGTATGTTATTTGAAAGTGAAAATATATTAAGACCATATTTAGTCAAATATAGTAAAAAATGATTTGTGCATAGTTTGTTGAGCAATTCTTAGTTATGATAGTCTGTAAAGGAATAGTTTTGTCAGAACAAGATACTATAGTTAAGTATGAAGTTACACTATATTATGTGACCTTCATAACTGCAAATGTGATTACGGTCTCCACTGATTAGCATACATCTGATAAGCAACAGTGGTCATTTGAATAACAAAATCAATAATTATCACTATGTAAACAGATGATAATGTTAGGTTTATGGCTATATTTAATTATTAACTTTAGATTATTTTATGCAGAATATTAATTGTAGTATATATATGTGGAGTATTCCAATTAGAAATATTTATATACACTATTATAAAAATGGACTAAATTCTAAATTCACATTTTAAATTTGTGATAATTAGTCCTATTCCAAAGGCTACTGTAACTTACCATATCATCAGGTCCTTCACAAGAATGGCGATAGGGAAGGCCTTCTGGTACTATTTTGTTGAGCATCATCTCCATGTCGTCTCTAACATCAGGATCCCAACTTTCATTAAGTGCCAGACTTGCTGAAGTATGCATTACTGAAAATAGTCAATACGAACCGTCAACTACCTCATACTTCGCGATAACACATAAAAACATTGAATAGAATGTCAACATGTTTGATATTCTGCATTATTATAAACATATGGTTAAATTAGCGCGTACTTGAATACTAAAAGTATTAATGAGACTGGGAGGCGATGCAGATCGGCGGTAAGAACGCTGTCTTAGCAAATACTCACTTTGAATATGGCAAAGACCGACCGCAAACTGAGACAGCTCCGGCACCTGCTTGAGGATTTCCTCGGTAACAAGGTGCACGCCTCGGTGTTGCGGTCTCAAGTTTAGCTTCCGTTGAAACCACGCGGATCCAATCTGAATTCCACGGTTCGAGGCCATGTTTAATTTTTAAAAATGCTACAGAACGACCGCAAGAACACGGTTGATCTTACACAACATCACTTAGAACAACCTTTGCACAAATAAAATCACAATTATCATAAGAAATACATCTTCGATCTTTAAGTAGTAATAAATATAACTGAGGTTATAAGACAGTTTCGACACCCTATTTTCTGCGGGAAGATGAAACAGTCTTCAGTTCAAATGAAAGAGAAAAACGATCGAATATATGTTGTCATTTTATAAAATAGTTTTGTACAAGTTTTAAATACAAAATTAATGAACTTGTTAAGTTTTCATTTGTTTTAATCTAAAAGTTGTAAAATAAATGAAAAAGTCAATATATCACACTATCACACACACACACTTTGCTCGAAGTTTATCAACTGTATTTTTTGTTTGTTGTTGATTAAACACTGATTAAATGAAGCATTAACAGTTTCTTTTATTTAAAATTTAGTATCCTGATTTCAAATAAAAAAATAAGAATTTTAACGGGACAGGGCGACCGTGGAATGGAATATTTATTGTCACGAGTAAATGGAGGGAAATTCAAATCAGTCATCAGAAATCTGCGCTCTATGAATATTACCACTAAAACTTGTTTGAAAATAAAAAAGTATTTTAACAAGATAAAGGAAGATTTCAATCGTTAAAACAATTACAATAGGAAATACAATTGGAGTGAGCATGGCGAAGGTGCGACTCCAAATGAAATAGTAGGGGTGCGCCGAGGGTTGATAATGTAGGCGCGGCCATAAACCACTCCTCGAAATTGAAACAATTAGTTTTTACATCTACTAAAGTAGATAGTGGACGTGTAGTTCGTTAGCGATTATTCTTTTAAATAAACATGGATCCTATTATTGACGCTATAAAAAATTCTGGTGAACCAGAATGGCTGGAGAAAACTGTAATTGGTGGCTTACGAGTCTGGCAAATTATTGTTTTATGTTTAATTGGAATAACTTCTTTTGGTAAGCGATAATAATAGTAAAAAAATAGAACCAGATATTTTTTGTTATAAATCATCATCCAAACTGTGTGCAATACAAAATGCCCGGGCGGACGAAAAAAAAGCGACGTATTACATTATTAGAAAACTTCTGGTGTATTCCAATTAAAATTGTTTATAAACACTGTTTATTAAAAAAATTAAGTAAATTTTGAATTCGTGATAATTAGTACTATTCCAAAGGATATTGTAACTTGTAACTTACCATATCATCAGATCCTTCACAAGAATGGCATTAGGAAAGGCCTTTTTAATTTGTGTTTCAAACGAATGAATTCATCTGTACGAGAGTGAGATACTACACTAAGGAACTGAAGTCAATAATGACTCTGGGACAACAAATAAAAGTCGTCAAAATTTCTCGAAGCAATCCCTGCATAGTCAAAATCAAATCATTTAGAACACATGTACCTAAGTATAAATATGTAGGTAATAATGTATTTTATATTGTAGTCGTGATGATGTGCTGCTGCTTCCGTTTCCGCATACCGCGCACCAAGCAGCAAATCGAGGCGGACTACCAACGTCGCATCATCACCAACAAGTTTCGTCAACAACTTGAAACGATACAGGATTCCAAGATGGACGCCATGTCTTTACATGATGGTATTACATTTTTTTCACAGATTCAAATCTATTTCTCCTTCAATTATATGGAAATAGAGTTGTAAATGTTTGTAAAGAATTTTTTGCAACGTAACTCATAGTATAATAACAAGTTATTTGTAATGCGTTATTTCTTTGTTTATTTTGTTATGTTTAACATAGGAAATGAAATCTTGTCAGGTATGTTTGTTGTTTATTTTTTGATAAGATAGTATGTTAGAGCTCATGTGACATAAATATTACACTGTCTCCCCGGCCGCCAGCCCTGGAACTGCTGCACGAGAAATCACATTCAATGGAAGACAATCAGCAAGGATCCCAGCCCAGCTCCATCATGTCGCCGCAACAGAGTAAGTATTTTATTTCTCCTATGAAAGCACCTACTAATAGAATAACCGGTACAGTCAACTGATAAATATGTAAACATTTACAAAACTTTAAAATTATCTACAGGCCTTCAGTTTCAAAAATATATCTTCATCCTTCAATACATGTGTATTTATCGCCAGATGCATACGGACAAACACGCGCACACATCTTTTTGAATCCGAAGACGTATACAAGTTTTTGTTGCTTGTCAAATGTTTTATGCAGCTGACTGTACCTAAGTAATTTATTTTAGTCTTCAATAATTTTTAATATTCCAGGTTCTCTGGATGCGTCATTCCAACCGGAAAATGGGCAAAAGCCGGAGCCACAGGTGTCTGGAGCTAACTTCGTGAAGTTCGCGACTAAAGTCGCACATCTGTCGAAGCTCGGACAGCCCAAGTCACCCACATCACCGACCACGGAAAATAAAATGGAATTTTAAATTATTATTAACTTAAGAATCTCTATTTATGTATTGTAGAAAATCGATTTGAAGTATATCAATTAAATTTATAAAAATACATTCTTTGGTTTTCTTCTTTATCTATTTATCAAGACTAAAAATGTAAGAAATCGATCAATAAATAGGACTTGCAAAATTAGTATTTAGGAAAAGGTTCAAAGGAAAAATCCATGTAACTTGTAACAAGTATTTTGAATTTGTTTAACAATGTATGAGGAACTGTCTAGTATTGGGAACAGGATTTCACATTGGTTACACAAATAAAAACAATGCTTGTAATGTGTACCTGTATTAAGAGTCAAATAATTAATATTTTGTTGCAGTAAAATGTCTTCTTTAATCTAGAAAATAAAAAAAACACAGTATAAACGGATTTTAGATCACAAGAATAATTAATTACATATTCACAAATAACGTTCACATTTGCACAGTTCGCATAATCTCGCATTAAAAACTGTCAGTAAAAACAATGATCAAGTAAGCGATCACTTTAAAACAACATTTTAACTTACATTTTATAATACATCTTGCAAATAAAAATTACATAAAATTCAAGTTAGCTACATTTTTTTAAATAATTGTTACTACTTGATGTTATGTTTTATATTAAAAACATAAAACTGCTTTTCCTCGATTGTGTCATGACATTTAATGATTCAATTACACCTAATTAATATGTATGACTTAGTGAATTTTATCCATTGAACTTCCAAACATTTCTCTTGATATTCTCTCAGTCCATGACTTCCTAGTTTAGTCGCAATCTCATTGTGTAAGAAAATCCAGTGCAAGGAAAGAGCTCACCAGAAAAACAGAAACTTTACATGCCAAATTCACTATTTTTTTAAGATGAATAATTCAATTCTGTTAACACCAGTCAACAATATTTTATTTCAAATCTGGTGAAATTTACGTATAGTAGAAGTGAGCTCTTTGAAATACACTGAGTTTTTTAGCACATCATTTTTGTACGCCGAAAACTTGCAGCATTAAACTTATAAAAAATTTTTAACAATACAAAACTTTTTGGAGAAGACCTTTATAGTCGAAATTAAAATAAATGCAAATTGGAATCTAGATACATAGTGAATGATATAATGTTTAAGTATTAGGTACGCAGCGTACGTTGGGCTAAACTAGCGACACTACTCTCAGCCGCTACAACAAACTGATCTCTTTAAATAAGGCCATTATGATTCACTCCGTCTCTCTATGGAAGTTATCTATTGGGAATTATTTATACACTTTCCGCTTACATTAATAATTGAATGGGGCCTACCTAGAAACATAATATAAACGTTTTACAATAATTATTGTTCACATTATTGCATAGAGCAATGAAACGAGAGGTGTACAGTGCAGTATAACATAACCATTGAATAATTCGTAAGTTTGTGCATGATATAACCTGTCTCGCCTCGCGCACCTCAACAACATAGTAAATGGAAACAGTATAGGCTACATTTTATAATACACTTTTAGTCTACATGAGGATCGGTATTGCGTAACTTACATCAACAAAATTACGTAAATAAACTAATAGAAAGGTCCACTCGTGACGGCCGCTGGTGCTCTAGGCTTTACATGACAGAGTGTACACAACAGATTTAGGAACCCGAATCACGAACGACGCTGTGCCATCATTATAAATAGAACTCTCATTAATAATAATAATAATAAAGCATAATTTTGTTTATCAACAAATACTACGGCAACATTATTGACTTCACTAGGCTAGGCTCGAGAGCTCGACAATAAATATCTGCATACAGTGTGCACATTCCGTCCCGCGTCCGCAACATAATCTAACAATATATTGAGCATATCCAATATTTGGCAAACAGTTTTCGAATATGAATATTGGCAAATACATTTGTAAGTACTTTGTGACGAATATAATTTTCAATAATAAATAGATAAAAATGAACACCAAGTACAAGATAATGACGGTTACATGTTAGGTAGGAGATACGCACATTGCGGCCTGGGGTGGGACAGCGCGGCACTCCAACAATATCTCTGCTGAGAGAGGAATCTGATTCTTATGTCGACAGGAGTAGGTAGAGTATCGTGTGCGGCGAGGCGCGCGGCGCCGCTGCGTCCCGCGCCCGAACAACACTCAATCTCGCCTAATAAACGTTCTCCCCCTGAAATACAAACACATTACATATCACTAAAACATTCTACTGCTGAAAGAAGAAAAATGTTAAAAAGTGGTGTGAGGCTTAGGGTGCAATTTCTATAGTTGTTAAATTGGTTTTATTTAGAGGACTAATGAAATTCATTGTCGTGTGGGAAATCTGTCGATAGGTATAATGCGCGGGGTGTGAACAGAAATCACTCGTATCCAGCGAGAACTAATAACTAAAAAAAATACATTAAAATCGCAAAACAGATTCACCAGTGACAAACACCTTTTTAATAAGATTTTAAAAAGAAATGTAAGTAGTCTTAGTGTAGCAATTCACCATACATTAGTTATTAGTGTATTGTTAATCTATACATATAATAAAATTGGAGTGTCTGTTTGTAATATCAAAAGAAAAGTTCCAGAATTCGGGAAGATGATGTATTTGCGTTGCTGATAACGATAATATTTTAGGTTATTTTTTTCTTAAATTCCGCGCTGTCAAACGGTGTAACGGGCGGCCCGAATTTGTGCTAACGACTATTGCGGACGACAGCTTGTCTATACTCATATTATAAAGATTTGTTTTTTTTTGTATGTATTGAAATAACTCAAAAACTACTGGGCTAATTCTTAAATTATTGAAATCGGAAATGGTGAAAGCATCATTAAAAAGCCACGTTGTCAGTGCGTAACATAGGCTACTCCATTTGTTTTTTTTTAATTCCACGCCGAAGAGGTCACAAACAACAGACTATTGTGTATATCTGTTTAGTATAGTATACGTACGTGATGGTCTTGCGTTCGTTGGGGCGCGAGGCGGGCTGCGGGCGCGCGCGGTTGAGCACCTTGAGCAGGTCGCCGGCCTTGGCGCGCATGCGCGAGTGCACGTACACCTTGCTGCACTTGATGTGGTAGTGCAGGTAGTCGCGGAACATGTGCAGCAGGTCGATGGTGTTGTCGCGCGCGCCGGCGCACGTGTGCCGCGGGAACAGAACTACACACAAACAACTTAATGAGTTAATTCGATAGGGTCCAGTGTTGACCAACAATTAATTTTAAATAATCTACTGAACTCGTTTTTTCCATATCATTGTTTTTTGCTACAATAATCTTCGGCGATTTAAGAGTTAACTATTGAACATTACGTCACTGACCTCTATAAATGGACAAGCTATAAGATGTGGTATTTTAAGCCAATTAATGTTCACCACCTTGGTACTGACATATTGTACTGATAGTGATGGAAATTGTCATTAATAATAGAGATATAAATAACTGTCATTAACATCAACTGGCAAGTTAAATCGGAACGAAGCAATAACTGTCGTTTCTAGGCAAAGACCTATCCATTTATTTAACACAGTGTGTTTAGGTTCAATCAGTTAAAAGGCTATTTTCCTCCTTCCTAAAAAAAAGTCACAGCTCTATAACATTTAATGCCTTTATATGTAGTGGTCATTTAAAATCCAGAAAAATAACTACAAACTATTAGTCATAATTTACTTTAATCCAAATACACAGTTTCTACATTAAACATAGCAACAGTTAATAGAACTTTGCACTCTGACTAATGCTGGTGTCAGTGGAATAAGTTAAAATAATACAATAAAAAAGTCGTTTTTACTTATTAGTATTGGAATGTAATTGGATATTAAGTCAATACAAACAAAGCAGCATGCATAAGTTACATAAAGTACTCACCAAATGTAACATAACTTATATTTTCCCCAACTTTGGCGTCGGTATCAAGAAGTTCTAGTGGCGGCTCCTTGTGTGAAAATAGAACCTGAAATAAACGAAAATATCAGCATAACCATAGCCAAGGAAAACAGATATAACAGTAATGTAGATTTCTTCTACAGTAAATAAATTGTAGAAGAGTTAAAAAGCATATGTAAGCTTTTATATTGCCCGCGGCTTCGTCTAGACAGAATTATAAAAAAACATAATAAACCTTTGTTTAATTACATAGATATCCATTAAGCCGCTTTAGTGCCATATTTTAATAAATATCCATCCATCTACACTTTTGTATTTAGTAGTAGTAATTTTAGTAGGGGGCTACGGTTTCCGCAACTTTCGTGTTTATTATATTAGTTTGAAGTACCTGTGGCGCAGTGTGTGACGCTCTTCTGCCTTCCTTCAGCTCCTGCATGAACACCTTCCCGATGACCATGTCGTCCTCGTGGCGGAACACGGTGGAGAACACCACAGTCACACGGTCCTCTTGAGCCTCCACATATCTGGAATATAGCAATTAAGTAAATTCATAACATTGAAAGAAATTTACACATACACCAACTGTTGCTCGCAACTTCAACACGTGAAACTTAAAAATATAGCCTAAGTTACTCAGCAGTAACTAGCTTTCTAATAATGAAAGAATTATCAAAATCGGACCCGTAGTTTTTGAGTTATATAATTCAAAAAAGAGGGAGGTTTGTATTTTTTGATGTATTGATATAATACATCAAAAAATACAAACCTCTCTCTTTTATAATATTAGTATGAATATCAACGGTGCAAAACCTAAAAATTCCATTGAACTTGAACACCATACAACAAAAAAGATAAAAATAAAAGTTGACAAAGCAATGATAAAAAAGTAAAATTACAATGTTTCATCCTGGCGATAGTTGATAACGGCCCGCTTGTGACTGACGTCCCCGTCCTCCTGCAAGCGGAAGTAGCGCTCGAACACGGACGCGAAGCAGTTCCTCTTGAGCAGACCAACTCTCTTCACAATCTCCTCCCAGTCCTCAGGGATGTTCTCCATATCCAGCAACACTGACACATTGTAGCCTGTGTGACAAACAATATTCATTATTCATACAAATATTATACATTTTAGAAGCTTCCGTATTCTTCTAAACCATGTTCTACATCTATATCAAATTTTATTGAGATGCTCAGCCGTTTAGGCTGTACACTCAAAAAAACATCCATCTAAACTCCAGAGCATCTACAAAGATCTGGATGATATTTGATAAGAACATAGTAGGGAAAAATACATAGGCTACCAAATAAGTTGTTTATTCTGCGCGAACAGCGACGCAGACGACAGTTAGCATTTTAATAAAAATCAAACATTATGCCCAATTAAAAAATATACATTCTTAACAAAGAGTAAATGCATAGTTCACATTTCAAATATGTCATAAGTTGTGTGGTGTTTCCAAAATGTTTTGTAATAAGTTTATAATCTGTCTCTCAGAGACAGTGTTTTGGAAGGAAGTGCTTATTTCTTTCTCAAAACATTAATTGATCTGTCACAAACATCTGTGAGATGCAACTCAATGTTGTGATTTGTACAACACACCATTTTGAGTAGAATGGGTAATGAAACAAACAAATACATTAAACTGAACTCTTGTATCAAATTTTATGGCAATAGATTACCAATTTATCTTATCACATAACAGATATAATTTTGATACTATAGCAAAAACTTTTTAAAACAATATGCCCTATATTTTTATAATATATTGAACAGTATTAAAAAAAAATCATTCAATATATTTTTATTCCATTTTTTAACTATCCAGTCTTTCTGCATATACATTTACAGGATAAAAAAGGCTTTACTTCTAATTTTAAGTAATTCCTTTACCATTATTAGCCAATATGAAATGTGTAATATTTATTTTTAAGTATGTGTGTTAATGATAAGTAACAAGTAGGTTAGAACAATTCATGAAGCATAACATGGACAGTTCATTATGCACTTCATATAATCCAATTAACACAAATTGATTACTTCAAAATTCTTTTTAATTTAACATTGTAAAAACTTCGTAAATGCTGATCACAATCTCACAGATGTCAAGATATTAATGAAATTTGGAGTTTTAATTGTAGCCTTATCATAAAAGATGTTGCTACATGTTTAATATCATTTCGATATTCAACCATAAAAGTTACAGTTTTAATATTAAAATATATGAAAAATTGTTACCTGATTCCGTTTCAGTGAGGAGAGGTCCATATACTCTTTTGAGCAGTTCATCTGCACCATGTTCTTCTAACTGCTTGTAAAACTTTAATGATATACTAACCTGAAACATAATGAATACATAACTTTAGTTTATATATTTTATGTTCTATAATATTTAACAAACATTTGGTTTTAATAACATGTTTCCAAACAAAACTCTTCAAAGAGCTGTGAGAATTGGTAATATTATGTATTGAGTAATGTTACAATGGATCCTTGTACCACAAATAAAAGTAATTTCAATAATAATTTATGAAAAAATAAATAAGGCAAAACTTCATCACCCTTTATAAAATCAATCACATAAATTTTAAATTATGATATAAATGTTATAAAGTATCATGACCATACAAAACTAATTTTGGTATTATATTAGCAGTGATTAATTTTAAAATACTACAATTTAGGTTTTAGTGATTACAAAATTTAATAACCAGTCTACCTTAAAGGAAAACAGACCATAAACAACTTTTTGATTCATAGAGTGGGGCAATTAATTTAACTTTTTTCCCTTACATATATACATTTAAAATTATTATAGATTTCATCAATACCATTTCCATAACATATAGATATTTTGTAATTTTTCTTAAGTGTCTTGCAAACCAAAATATATGCTTGAGCTACATGTTTCCCTTTTATTACAAGATCAGTAACATCTAATGTTACATTAATATCTGTTCATAAATTAATTTAATTTAATGTATAATAAATCAGAGTTGCTTACCCTAACTTTGGTTTTATCTCCATTAACATTAGATATATGAAAGAGCACTCCATCGAAGTCCGCAACAGTCACATCAATTGATTCAGGTTTTAAGCTAAAAAAAAGTTAACTGATAAATAAATAAACAAAAACAACACCCATTTAAATGATTACTCATATCCTGACATTACAAAACAATTTATCTGCATCCCCTCATTGTTGTTTCGGTATATCAGTGTCACATATCAAATTTAATGTACATTGTTTACACCCATTGGAATCCGAAAACACTTTATGGGACGTTTCCGCACTCCCCGCGAGTACGTACAAACAACCTATATGACTCATCCATGCCGATATGGACTGTATCACGTCATACTTAGACATTGTGTTAAGGATAATACTTATTTTATATGCCGAAAATGTATCTAATTGAACAAAATTTCTCAATAAGCGGCCAACGTGGGCCCACCCTGGAGAAATGGTATTTGACACTTGTCAAGATCAAGACACTCATAAAAAGGGGTTATAAGTACATTACAATATGACACCGAATTTCGAAGAACTGACCACTGTATTTCATTTGATATGGTAACGTTATGATGAGTACGAACACTAAACACGTAACGATTATAAAAACAGGTAAACTTTCTAAGCGTAACGTACTCACCGCGCCAGTGCATTTTTATATTTAACTGTTAGAGTCTCTTCTATAATTCTATTATTGATCTCCAGCAAGATCATTATTTAACAATATATAACCTACAGCCTTTTCATAAAAATAACACTTATAGCACCTTCATTTAATAATTTATACGGATATCTTTAACGATGACCGCCCGTACACAGGTATCTATACGACAGAATAGAGAAAGAAAAGGAAGCTTCAAATTAATGAAAAATCGGCCATGTAACCATAGACACATAAAATTTTAAATACAAGAATCGAAAAGTTCAAAATGTATCAAATAGATCTCTCACATAACGCGTATTACAAGATAAACAATAGCAAAACAATGGGCTACACACATAAAAATAAATTTTCAAGAAATATATGCGAAACACTGGTCACTTGCCGGTCACAACTTAATTTGTATGAGGAGAAGCATCAGTCCACAGTTCAATTATAAGGAAATATAGTATTCTTTAGACTTGTAACTTTATTTCATGTTTTATAAACGATCTAAATGAAAACCATTTTTTTTCTTTTTAACGAAAAATTAAAATTGCAGACTAAACAAGAAAACAAAAAGTTATAAGCAATGGCAACCATTGGTGTAAGGCTTTTTGTCTCTTAAATCTGTCAAACTTTGTCAAATGATGTCAAACAGATTGTCAAATTATTTTTTTCTTCAATTGACAGATAATAAAATCACAAACAAGCACAAGAAAAACGTGAGATTATTGCGTTGCCTTGTGTCAAGTTGGATGTAAATCTAAAGCTTTATTAAAAATATTGGCTTATTATTCGAGTATTTAGTATTATTGAAACTATATTTAACTAATATGGAAAGCCAACTGCTTATTTTAAATGTTGAGAGTTAGTTTAGAAGCGAATTTCTTATCATGTCAAATCAAGTTACACAATTTGTAGCGGGTTTAAAGTCCCGCAATGTCGATATACAAACTAAAACGGCTCGGGAGCTTTACCACTATGCAAAAACAGAATTACGTGAAGTACCACAAGAGGAACTTACCCAATTCCTCGACGAATTTAACCATCAGATATTTGAAATGGTCTCGAGCAATGATGTTCACGAAAAGAAAGGAGGAGTGCTGGCTATCGGTTTGTACATAGTTATAAACATATTTAAGGTATTTATTGACACACGTCGCATTTTGTTCTTCGAAGTTAATACTCTGAACTAACCAACAGATGAATATATTGTCTTAGAAAAATTAAATAATATGAATAAAAATATTTTTTTTTAGTTTGCCTCATCGGTGGCGACTGTGATACAACCAAAACTCGAATTACAAGGTTTGCAAACTATTTGAGAAATTTGCTTCCTTCCTCCGATGTTGGTGTAATGGAATTAGCTGCAAAAACTGTTGGACGATTGGCAACTGTATCTGGTGTGAAACGAGCTGAATATGTTGAATTTGAAGTGAAAAGAGCCTTTGAGTGGTTATCAGAAGAAAGAAATGAGGGTAGACGACATTCTGCAGTTTTACTGCTTAAAGAACTAGCTATTGCTATGCCAACATACTTTTATCAACAAGTTTCCGGTTTCTTTGATCATATATTGGTTGCACTAAAGGATCCAAAGCAACAGATAAGAGAGGCTGCAGCAAAGGCTCTTAGAGCCGGTCTTGTTGTCACTGCTCAAAGGGAAACTGCAAAGCAGTCTACTGCAAAGCCACAATGGTATTTGCAGTGCTATGAAGAGGCTATGGTGTCTTTTGAAGACATTCCTTTTAAAGAAAAAGGTATTACTAAAGAGGATAAAGTGCATGGAGGTCTTCTTATCCTGAATGAACTCTTAAGATGTTCAAATGCAGAATGGGAAAAAAAATACACAGATTTAATGCAAAGCTTAGATACACAGAGAGATATAACTGTGTCTGATGATATTATATTTATAAGTTCAAAGTTACATAGTCCTTCAGTGAAGAGAGGGTACCTTTGTGATGGTTTTAAGACAGAGAATGTTCAGTATCCTGTACCAATATATGAGTCTGAAGTTTGTAAAAAACTATTAAATGAAGAGTATGATAGAATTTGTCAAGGTAAGGTGAGAATGGAATTTGTATAAAATTGTTACACATTTATTTAACAAATAAAAAAACATGTAATGTTGTTTTAAAGTTTAACTGTTATATACCCAAAGAAATCAAAAAATTCATAGGTTTTTAAAGTTTTACCATGTAAAAATTCCATTTTTTTTTATTTTTCATTTAACCTATAATCTCCTAATCATCTCCTAAGCAATAATCTCCTAATTCAAAGTAAATTAAATTTTTTTTGTTCTAGATGTCATGAACCAGAGGCTGTTTAAAACTCAAGGAGTTCCCCAAATTCTACTAATACTAATACCAAGGCTAGCTGCATTTAACAAAGAAGTTTTCCTTAAGAAATACCTGAACTCTACTATGCATTATCTGCTGACATCACTTAGAAGTAGAGAGAAAGATAAAAATATGGCATTTACTACACTAGGGCTAATGGCTGCAGCCATTGAAGGTGATATTAAAAATTATATACGCACAATAATGGACTTCATAAAGCAAGCATTACCAATAAGAGATTCCCAGACGAAAAAACGAATATGGATCGATCCATCCATTTTTGCATGTATTACATTGCTGGGAAGTGCGGTAAAGGATTTGGTGATCAGTGATATTAAGGAACTTCTGGATGCAATGTTTGCTACAGGTCTTAGTCCGTCGCTGACAATTTGCCTTAAAGAATTAAGTGAAAACCTACCATCACTTAGAGAAGAAATATCAGAAGGACTGCTTAATATGCTGTCATTGGTTTTGAGGAACAAACCATTCCTCCATCCCGGTGTTCCTAGGAGTATGGAACAACAGAGTAGTATGAGTCTAGTTATAGAGCCCCACGATACGGCAATTATAGTATTGGCTTTACGAACTTTAGGTACATTCCAATTTGAAGGCCAACATAGTCTGCTTACGTTTGTAAGGCGATGCGCCGATCATTTCTTACAAAGTGACCAACAAGAAATTAGATTGGAAGCAGTCAAAACTGCTGCTAAATTGCTGGCTGATGCCACTGTTAGAACAAAGAATAATCCTTCCAGAACCCTCACCATGCTGACTGCGGAAGTCGTGGGCAAAATGTTAGTCGTGTCCGTCACAGATCCGGAGTACGAAGTGCGCTATTGGGTTTTAGAATCATTGACCGAAATATTCAACACACATTTAGCACAAATAGAAAATCTTAGCTTCCTATTTATAGCGATGAACGACGAACATTTGGAAATACGTGAGCTAGCTATTTGTACGATAGGACGATTAAGTACCGTCAACCCGGCGTACATAATGCCAGGTCTTCGAAAGACTTTGATACAATTCTTGACTGAATTGGAACATTCTGGAATGAGTAGAAACAAGGAGCAGGCGGCTAGAATGCTAGACAATTTAATATTGCACGCCCCGAAACTCGTTAAGCCGTATATGGAGACAATTCTTAATGTTTTAGTACCAAAGCTTAAGGAGTCTGACTCGAATCCAGGCGTTGTAATAAGCGTTTTAAAGGCAATAGGAGACTTAGCTGATGTTCACGGCGATAGCAGTGGCCTTAAGAAATGTCTGCCAGAGTTATTAAGCATTCTCTTGGAACTTCTTTCAGATGCTAGTGCGACTGATAAGAGAAGTGTAGCTCTGTGGGCATTCGGTCAATTGATTAGTGCAACAGGCTACGTAGTCACACCTTACACAGAGTATCCCAACCTTATGGATGTCCTTTTAAATTTCCTTAAAACGGAACAACAGCCAAAAGATCGAAGAGAAACTATACGTGTTTTGGGTTTATTGGGAGCCCTAGATCCTTACAAACATAAATTGACCCGAGGTTTAATCGATGGGCAGCCAGATTCCAGTCTTGTCCCGGTCGCAGATAGTAAAGCTGAAGAAAATAATTTCGATATGACTACGAGCGAAATGTTGGTTAATATGTCGTCAACACTCTTAGACGAGTATTATCCTGCTATAGTCATATCAACACTTATGCGAATTCTTCGCGATCCGACACTGCAACAGCATCACACGAGTGTAGTACAAGCTGTCACTTTCATATTCCAATCGTTGGGCATTAAATGTGTTCCATACATATCTCGAGTCACTCCCAGTCTTTTGTACGTAGCCCGGTCTACAGATAGTAATAATTTCCGAGAATTCTTATTCACGCAGCTCGCTAAATTGATCGCGATCGTAAAGCAACACATTCGTAATTATTTGGATAAAATCTTCGACTTGATCAAAGAATTCTGGTCACCGAATAGCGCCTTGCAGCCTACCCTTATATTATTAGTAGAACACATCGCTGTTGCGCTTGGTTCAGAATTCAAAGTTTATTTGCCACAACTTATGCCGCATATATTACGTGTTCTCGCACACGATACCAGTAAAGACAGATTCGTGACAGAAAAACTTCTCTACGCGCTGCAAAAGTTTGAGGACAATCTCGACGATTATATGCATTTGATTATACCGTCGATAGTTAAGTTGTTTGATACCACTGACTGTCCTATTCCTGTGGCGAAAGTAGCTATGGAGACAGTCGATTATCTATCAGACTCCTTGAATTATAGTGAACTAGTTTCCAGAATAATCCATCCTCTTGTTAGAAGCTTGGATACTTGTCCTGCACTACGCACGACTGCAATGGATACGTTGTGTGCATTGATTATCCAGCTCGGTAGAAAATACACGGACTTTATACCTTTAGTGCAGAAAGTTATAGTAAAGCATAAAATTCAACATCAAAACTATGAGCTATTGTTATCTAAGATTCAATCTACTACGACATTAGGAGTTGATGATGGCTTGCAAAGTACTCGAAGGAAACCAAGAAATAATAATCAAGAGGTAAGAATCCAAGACATTATCGTGCGTAAGTATTGATTTTTGTAATGGTATTGAAAAAATAATAAATTTGACAGGCTCGCATAGTGTTTGCGGATACGTCACAGTCGATACGAAAGTTGTTTGTGAACGCACACAACTTGAAGGTAGCGTGGACTGTGAGCAGCCGCGTGTCCAAAGACGACTGGCTGGAGTGGCTGCGTCGGTTCAGCATAGGCCTCCTGACTGAATCTCATAGTCCCGCTCTTAGGTATGTATTTGCTATAATAACGTTTTATTTTGTTTGTCATTTTCTTTATTTTTATATCCTGCGATTCTCCATAATTGTAACTCATGGTTACTAAAGGATATAATATATAATAAATTTGTTACAGAGCATGTCTAGCGTTAGCACATAACTACTCCCAACTACTTCGGGATCTGTTCAACGCGGCATTCGTATCGTGTTGGACCGAGTTAGAGGCACCAGCGCGGGCTGACCTGTCCAGTGCGCTGGAGCAAGCCCTAACAGCGCCCGATGCTCCAGAACTAGCACATACCGTTCTAAACCTGGCCGAGTTCATGGAGCACTGTGAGGGCGGAGCCCTACCCATAACTACCAGTACACTCGGAGAACGTGCTATGCGATGTAGGGCGTATGCGAAAGCTCTTCATTATAAGGTACGTGCGGTAAAATGTAAAATGTAAGTTGTTTATTTATATTTTACATCAAAAATGTTTACTATGCAATCATTTTTTAGGAAGAAGAATTCCGAAGTGGTGCTACATCTCAAGTAGTAGAAGCCCTTATACATATAAATAATAAACTGCAACAGAAAGAGGCAGCCGAAGGCTTATTGGAGAGAGTGATGGCGCAGCGCGAGGCCGGCGACGCGGACCTACAGGTCCAAATACGCTGGTATGAGAAGTTACATAACTGGGAGAAAGCACTCAATTTGTATGATGATTCATTGACCGCTGACCCTGAGAATATGGAAGCGTGTTTGGGAGAATTAAGATGTTTCGAAGCCCTCGGCGAATGGGTTAAGTTATACACAACCGTCTCCAAACAATGGCCAAATATGTGCGATGATGAAAAGTTCCAAGCGGCCAAATTAGCCGCTGCCGCATCTTGGGGTATGAGCGAATGGGAGTCAATGGCAAATTACGTCAGCTTCCTCCCAGAAAACACTCAAGACGGTGCTTTCTACAGAGCAGTACTAAATATTCACAAAGGCGATTACAATTTATCGAAAATGTATATCGACCAAGCTAGATCATTGTTAGATTCCGAACTAACAGCCGTAGCCGGGGAGAGTTACCAGCGCGCCTATGGTGCATTAGTAAGTGCTCAACTTCTTGCCGAATTAGAGGAAGTCATCACTTATAAGCTTGTGTCGGAAAGAAGGGAATCTATAAGGCAAGCATGGTGGACGAGGCTTCAAGGTGGCCAAAGATTAGTTGAAGATTGGCGTAAGATTTTGCAAGTACGTAGCTTGGTATTGACGCCTCAAGAAGATATGGCGACGTGGCTCAAATTTGCATCTCTTTGTCGAAAGAGCGGGGCTCCAAGGCAAGCTCATAGGACATTGGTTATGTTGTTGGGCATAGATCCAAGTGAGAACCGAGACTTACCGTTGCCGACTCACGAGCCGAGGTTAACACTGGCGTATGCAAAACACTTATGGGTAGCAGGAGATAAACAGTTAGCCTACGATCAGTTACAACGCTACGTGGAGACGGTAGAAACCGGCGACGCCGAACATTGCAGGCTTTTAGCTCGTTGCCATCTAAAACTTGGATCTTGGTGTGAATCTATCTTGGGTATAAACGAGCTCTCTATCCCAGAAATACTCCGCAATTACGCGGCGGCGACCAACCTATCCTCGGATTGGTATAAAGCGTGGCACGCCTGGGCTTACATGAATTTCGAAACCGTGTTGTTTTACAAACATCAAGAAACTAATAACGACAATTCTGAAACTAAAAAGACAACTCCGGAGTTTATCCAACAGCATACGGTTCCAGCAGTCGAGGGTTTCTTTAAATCAATCAATCTATCGCACGGCAGTTCATTGCAAGATACTCTACGATTGTTGACTCTGTGGTTTGACTATGGTCACCATCCTGCCGTTCACGAGGCTTTGGTTGAAGGGATCAGAACTATCGAAATAAATGTTTGGCTTCAAGTGATTCCGCAGCTGATAGCACGCATCGATACCCCCAGAGCTTTAGTTGGGAAATTAATACATTCGCTGTTAATCGACATCGGTAAATCGCATCCGCAAGCTCTAGTTTATCCACTCACTGTTGCTTCTAAATCATCATTTGTAGCAAGAAAGAACGCCGCCAATCAAGTTTTAAAATCAATGTGTACTCATTCAAGCAATTTAGTCAACCAGGCGGCCATGATTTCCGAAGAGCTAATCAGAGTAGCGATACTCTGGCACGAACAGTGGCACGAGGCGCTGGAAGAAGCTTCTAGATTATATTTCAGTGAACACGACGTCAAGGCGATGTTTAAGACTTTGGAACCATTGCATGCGATGCTTGAAAGAGGACCTAACACATCCAAAGAGGCGTCCTTTACTCAGGCTTACGGAAGAGATCTGAATGAGGCACAAGAGTGGTGTAATCGATACAAGGTATTTACTATCTTAAAGCCTTACTAAGGCCACGTTTAAAGTAACTACAGAAGACATAATCATCTCCATCAACCTACCCTTGTCCTTAAGGAAGGTCGGTACAGTATGTGCACTTCCACACATCTCTATCTCTTTTACACAATCCATCCGTACTTCATTATTCCTCTACCTTTGTAGCTATTCGTGCAATCTGAATACTTTCTTGTTTACGTCATAATGGGTGGTTTTGTAGGAGTCAGGTCAGGTGCGCGACCTGAACCAGGCGTGGGACCTGTACTACCACGTGTTCCGGCGCATCAGCCGGCAGCTGCCGCAGCTGACGACGCTGGAGCTGCAGTACGTGAGCCCGCGCCTGCTGGGCTGCCGCGAGCTGGAGCTGGCCGTGCCCGGCTCCTACGTGCCCGACTCGGACCTCATACGTATCGCACATATACAGAGCAGCTTGCAGGTCTGTACTGAATCATACTTAGCTTAAGCTGGGTTGCTTATGTTTCCCTTTATCATTACCTATCGGTTTATTAGTGACAGGTTAAACTAAAATTCTAAGTCGTTCAATTCTGACATTCTTAATTTACAATATCACAATTTTTAGGTAATAACATCAAAGCAAAGACCTCGACGTCTCTGCATCCGTGGCTCGAACGGCAAAGATTACATGTTCTTATTGAAAGGCCATGAGGATTTACGTCAGGATGAACGTGTGATGCAACTCTTTGGTCTAGTTAATACGCTACTTCAGGCAGACCCTGATACGTTTAGAAGAGATTTGGCCATACAAAGATATGCAGTTATACCATTATCCACTAACTCCGGTCTCATCGGCTGGGTGCCTCACTGCGACACATTACACTCTTTAATCAGAGATTACAGGGATAAGAGAAAAATTCTACTGAATATCGAGCATAGGATAATGCAACGAATGGCTTCCGATTTAGAGAAATTAATGCTAATGCAAAAGGTAATTTTATTTTATATTTCTGCTTTTAAAATTGTATTTCATTAATTGTATATGTATTTTGCTATTGTAAAATGGCGATGGTTTCAATACTCATTTAATCATTGAGCAATATGACAATTGTGTACGCGACTCGATTTTATAGACATATGTTGCTCGCCACTTCGCCTGCGTGTAATTAAAATTTATGGCCTATGTTACTCACAGATAAATTACCTTTCTAACTGTGAAAGAATTTTTCAAATCAGCCCAGTAGTTTTTGAGTTATATCAATACATTCAAAATACAAAAATACAAATCTTTCCTGTTTATAATATTAGTATAGATGAATAGAAAAATTGGAATATTTGTTTTTCTCAGGTTGAAGTATTCGAACATGCGCTAGAGCATACAGCCGGAGATGATCTAGCTAAGTTACTCTGGCTTAAGAGTCCATCATCTGAAGTGTGGTTCGAGAGACGCACCAACTACACGCGGTCGCTGGCCGTCATGAGCATGGTGGGCTACATCCTCGGCCTCGGAGACAGGCATCCCTCCAACATCATGCTCGACAGGGTAACAGGAAAGTTCTTGCACATTGATTTCGGAGACTGCTTCGAAGTTGCAGTCACCAGGGAAAAGTTCCCGGAGAAGATACCATTCAGATTAACCAGGATGCTTATCAATGCTATGGAGGTAGGGTACTTTTTAATTTCCTACTTAAATTACCTGGTTTTTTAAATCTGCCTTTCTTAATTTCTAATTTGTCTTTTTTAAGGTAACCGGTATCGAAGGTACGTATCGTAGAACTTGTGAATCAGTGATGGAAGTTTTACATAGACATAAAGACAGTGTGATGGCGGTACTTGAGGCTTTTGTATACGATCCACTCCTCAACTGGAGGCTGATAGATGCAGCGAGACGCTCCCGAGGTGACGGAGACCCATCCGAAGTACCCACATCACCTATAACATTTAAAACAAGACCTCAAATTGGAGTAAATGATACTCTAGATCAGCCAGCGGAGACCAATCTCAATAAACGAGCCTTAGTAATAGTAAATCGAGTTAGAGACAAATTAACAGGTCGTGATTTTACACATATAGATGATCTATCTTGCATTTCAGTACAGAAACAAGTTGAATTGTTAATACAACAAGCGACAAGTAATGAAAATCTTTGCCAATGTTATGTCGGATGGTGTCCTTTCTGGTAACTTTGTCAGTTCATTTTACTCCCATATATGACATGTTATTTAAATATTTTTTTTAATTGCCTTTTGTTTTTCAATAGCTTTGAAATTAATTTCACCAGTTACTTTTAAATTAATATTGACATTAACCTGTTACATTTTATTTTCGTCCTAAAATTGTGCAAGGTAATCTCCCTCACTTTATGAGAGATTTCCCCAGATTGTGTAAATTATATACCTATATTATATAAGGGAATTTAAAAATTGAAAATAACACTAAATGTTTATAAACTCTTAATGCATTATATTAATATTTTGCATTTATAAATCTGTAATTTACACACTGCCAAAGAAATTATGAATTGGTGTGTTTGTTCGTAAGTATATATTGTATAACTACTGCTTATGTATGTATTCTCTGATTATTATATAATATAAGGATAGGTAATTTGGAATGTAAACTAGACATAATTGATATGATAACATAAAAATCATTTTATTTTAATTGATTATTTTAAAATGTTTTTCACTAAAGTAGAATCTTTTGTATGTTATGTCTCCGCACTCTCGAAACATTCATATAAGATGTTTCTTAACGACTACTATGTTTTGTGTAACCTATTGTGTTCCATATTAAAAAAAAATAAAGCCCTCCCATGCCAGGATTTTTTTGTTCTTGGTTAGTCTATGATTCGTAATTTAAATACTCTTGATGTTAAAATATTACGGTTGTTATAATTGTAAAAAAATAAAGCTGGCTATGAATATTTTGCTTTGGTAATTATTTTAATTTAATTAAAAATAATAATTTTATTGGGTTGGAATTGGTAACGTGAACGGCAAGGGCAAGCTTAATACCGAATCCATTTGCCGTGATTTAACCCGCTAAAACAAAATAAAGTATTGTTGTCCCGGTCATTCTCTTTAAAAAGTTTAAAAACAACGTTTTTCGGAAATAAGTAGTGGACACCATCCGTCAAATAACACGTTTTTGTGTTGGAAATTTTGTGATTGATTTACTCGTGATAAATGATTTAAGTTTAGCATTTATAGGTAAGCTGTACCTATTTTGGTTTAACGCAATTTTTTGTCTTTAATAAAAAAAAAATGGAATGCAATTTGTGTATTTTTTACATTTCCATCACCTTTTCAGATATTGGTACTGGTCTCGAAATTGCCAGTTCTATGAACAGTTTTATGATAAAACTGTTGTTCGATTTGTCTGAATAGAATATAACAATTTGGAAACAGTGGTCTTTAGAGATTTTGGCGGCTCTAAACATCGTGTAGCAAGATGATAGTGAGCATTGCATAGGGTCCGCATGAAGGTTAAGGGGGTCAAGATATTTGAAATGACTTATACCATTGGTCAGAAACGATTTACAAAACGCCAACATTCAAATGAAAATTGATTATTAGCTTTCCAATTCTATGTACTTTCATCTAATAATGTAACTTATTTAAAATAAATCAATCATATGGTTAAAACATTAAATAGAATCATGTTCAATACCTAGTTACCTTGACTTTCACGTACATAAGTTGTTCTGCATTCAAGTTTTCCGCTATATTACAAGGAGAAATAGGGCTGTTACCTCTCCGAGTATTTTTATATTCGGGTCTATGTTTCTCGAAAGTACGCAGCCCTAAGCATAAAACGCAGACTCTAATTTTTTAGACATGCAGATAAGTCTATTCCAAAATTAAAATTATAGTATAAAACAATTACAGTTAAGGATATTAAAGTGAATTTCGAAAAGAAGGGTTTGAAGAGGAAGTGTTTTATGTAAAGCTTTAATTTTACTTGTTGGTATGCATCGAAGCAATGTTATCTCAAAGTTAATTAATTTGATAACTAACTATACTAATGTATCTAACCAATTTTTATCAAACCATGACCATTTTTTCATGTCCTCGTGATAAGTAAGTAGATATGGGTAACAATCTTCGATTACAAAAATTACGATATTTTTTAATGTCAAATATAATTTACATTACCTCCGGTTAAATGTTAAAACAATAGAAACAAAACGTTCTTTAAGTTATATGGTACGTGCAGTTTTATGATTATCATTCAATTATATTACGTCGGCCTTCACTTGAAGTCGCAATTGACAGTAGAGTGAAACAAAAAAATGTGATACAATTGTTCCAGCGGCACTTTCAAACGGCAGTCACATCACAAGGGACGTTCAATCATAAAGCAAGATATAATCAACGATCGTTTGCTTTAATCAGTTGGACGCTGACCGCTCCCAATATCGCACGGCCTCCGTACTTTCTCGATATCGTATTACGAAACGTTCGAGGCCTTATGGACAACTATGAAATACTCGATTTTAAATCCTTAAGTAAGTATCCCTTTACAACATTTTTTTTAACAACTTAGTTTATATTCTTAGATAAATATAAATATTTTTTTTAGAATATAACGTCGCTTACTTTCAAAATTACGATCACTAAATGCAATGATCTTGAGCATAAATCTATTTTTGCACATACAAATACGCGACGACCTAAATTTTGTGCGTCGTTGTAAATAAACGCGTTTAGCATAAACATAAACGTGAACACACAAATCTCTTTACTCAAGTTATCATGAATACGAATAGAATCATTGGTTATCATGTTAATGATTTATTAAGATTAAAATTTACATCATTTAATAATTCATTAAATACAAAACAAGAACTTGATCTTTATTTTTAAACTTTTGTTTTATCTAACTATATTCATTCTAAACTTTATATAATTTCAGATGAGACAGTACAAGATTTAATTCGTCAAGCAACTAACGTGAGGAAATATGCTTATTGTCCGTACTCTAACTTCGCTGTAGGCGCTGCAATATTGACAGAAGAGGACTCTAAAGTGTACACAGGTTGTAATATAGAGAGTGCAACGTTCACCCCATGCATATGCGCTGAACGAGCGGCCATACCTAAGGCAATATGCGATGGTTACTTGAAGATCAAAATGGTGGCAGTCGTGGCCCATCAAAAAAGCGGATTCACAGCACCTTGCGGAGTCTGCAGACAGACGTTAAGCGAATTCCGAAGCAGTGATGGTGATATAGAAATATACTTAAGCAAGCCCGCAATGGACAAAGTATTGCGTACAAAGTTATCAAAGTTGTTACCGCTTGCGTTTGTAAGTTACATCACAGACAATGTCATCGATAATGATAATAGTTAGCTATAACATATATGTACTAGGAAAATATAACAAATAAGGAATAAGACGGTAAATATATTTTATTTTCATAAATACGCTTTTATACGAAATGTAAGATATCATTTTTGATATAAAAATTGAATAGTAAATAATGAGTTTAAATTCAAATATCGCAATTTACTATGCTAAGTAATGTTTACGACATACTTATAACATGAAGTAAACATTTCACATCCGAAAATTAAATTATGGTAAACAATACTTTTCACAATAAAGTACATACTCTTAGAAGTTTCACACGGATGTCTTTAACAATTAGTATTGTCTTCGCGGGGAAGTCCTGTTATCAAATATCCTGTACGTTAGACACGTTGTTTTAAATTAACAATAAAACTATAACAATAGAAATTAATCTAGACACTATAAAGATTAAAAGGTCCCTCTTTCGTTTTTATAAAGAACGCTAAATATACAAGAAGTCGTATTTTGAAGCCCAATTTTGTTAGATATTAATTCTTTGCAAACGATTCTTGTAGTATCTTTCTTGGCGTGTTACCTTTTTATGAACGTGATACTTCTCTGCCGTCTGTTAGCGGTTTACAACAAGTCTTTGTTTATATTTAACAAGAAGAAAAACACAATATCGATATTTTTTACTTTCTTTTATTAATTTGTACAGACTTTTTGCTAGTATTACAATAAGTTTCATCGAAAAGCTTGTACAAAAAAGGTTTATCTCTGTTTTTATATCAAAGAGAGTAATAAGGAACCATCCTTCCATCCTAGGTACCAACCTAGTATGTTTTTGTACAAATGTTTTCACAATGGAAACTTAGGGTTATAATGTTTTTTTATTTTGCAAGGTTTCATGGTATAAAATGTAACAATTTTATATAGTTAACGTTTTTATCAACAAAGAGAAGAGAAAAGTGTTAACATACAAAATATTTTAAGTAGAAAGTTGATTAACATTAATTACGAGTTACATTTAAATATTAAATATGTATATATGTTCTATACTAAGATATATTTACAATAATTAAATAGGAAAGCAACTACTAATATGAATTAGGAAAGCGAGGAAAACATTTAATAGTTTTAGAATCAATAAATCTTAATGTAAACAAAATAAAAACTACGGTTTCGTTAGAACTATAATTAGTTTACCAGTCAAGAAAAAAAATTATTGTACAGCCGATAGCTGTATATACGAAATAAAAATTCAATACCATAGGTAAAGATATAAGATGATGTTAAAATTATTTTTTTTTTCTTTAAAAGCATATATTTACAGTATGTCGCATTTGTAACTCTGTGAAATTACCAAAACGGACACCATCCAATATAACATTGACACAAATTCTCATTATTAGTAGCAATTTTGATCAACATATCAACTTGTTTGGGTACACTCACAACCGCCTCTATTTGGGGGAAGTCCCGTCCTGTCAGTTTGTCCCTTATTCTATTCAAAATGGCGAGTGCTCTCTTGTTCAGATTCGCTTCTGGGGGTATCTCTAAAGATTCGTAATGTAAATGGTTCCTACTCCTGCTGCGCATGGAGTATGAGGAGTCAATGTCTGATGAGAAGGTGGACTCGGTGATAGAATGCCTGTCGTTGTCGATCAGCCGCCAGTTGAGGAGGGGATCGTATACGAAGGCCTCGAGCACCGCCATCACACTGTCGCGATGTTTGTGCAAGACGTGCATTACAGACTCGCACGTGAAGCGATATGTGCCCTCTATTCCAGTTACCTAGAATAATACGAGGAAGATAAATTTCTAGTGCTAAAAAAATATTTATCTTACTTTGTTATTATTATAATACTATAAATGCGAAAGTTTGGATGGATGGATGTTTGTTAGATTTTGTAACCTAAACTGCTGAACGAAATTTGACGTATATGTAGAGGACAGTCTAGAAGAACACATAGGCTACTTGGTTTTGGTTTTTTTTAGCGAAAGCTAGTATTACATATTTCAGTTTGTGTGACTTGCAAAAAATTGTACGTACTTAGGGTGCTATCATTAAAAACAATCGAATTTTATCTCGGAGATACATATTAACTCGACCATTACATAAGGGAATCCAATAAGATGTATAATTTTTAAGAAAACATTTCAATATCAAGGTAAGAAAAAAATTATAACACAATTTAAAACCTTTGTAACAATGAATTTGAGGTTAATTTGCCTGTTATGTTTATAAGCAAAACATAAAATCTTACCTCCATAGCATTAATAAGCATCCTAGTCAATCTGAATGGTATTTTTTCCGGTAACTTCTCCCTAGTTTGAGTTACTTCGAAACAATCTCCGAAATCGATGTGCAGGACTTTGCCTGAGACTCTGTGCAGCATGATGTTGGAGGGATGCCTGTCTCCGAGGCCGAGGATGTAGCCCACCATGCTCATGACGGCCAGCGACCGCGTATAGTTCGTACGTCTCTCGAACCACGCCTCCGCTGACGGACTCTTCAGCCAAAGAAGTCTTGCTAAGTCATTCCCGGGAGTTTGGGATAATGTGTATTCAAATATTTCCACCTGCAAAGGCCAGTGATAAAAAAAATAAATCTGCTAAAGTGTAATAAAAAGGTGTATTAAGAACGTCCATAAATAACCAACGTCCAATGACACGCGATATCAAAAATGCAGGTGCGTAAGTTCTTCCAGTTATATTAGACTTTTTGGCCTTGACATATTTCTGTGGGGAGAATGAGACATTACGACAAACACACAAAATAGAAAGAGATAGATAACAGATTGTTAACTCCACGGTCGTTTTCAAGTTGATTGACTTATATCGATTCTAGTTAGACTAACTATAGTTACTATACCTTGTGTTTCAACATAAGCTTCTGATAATCAGATGCCATTCTTTGCATGATCTGCTGTTCTGTGTTCAGAGCTAGTTTGTTGGATTTCTTATCTCTGTAGTCACTTATGAGATTGTATAACGTATCGCACTGTGGTACCCATCCTATGAGACCGGAGTTAGGGGATAGCGGTATGACCGCATACCGCTGTATAGCTAGGTCGTGGCGGTAGGTGTTAGTATCGGACTGTAGCAGGGTATTGACCAGTCCGAAGAGCTGCATCACCCTCTCATCCTGTCTCAGATCCTCGTGACCTTTGAGCAGGAACATATACTCTTTGCCGTCTGACCCTTGGATTGTGAGGCGGCGTGGTCTTTGCTTTGATTTGATCACCTGGAAGTGTAGAATTAGAGATGAGTGAAGCAATATTTACTATTTTGAAGGTAATTAACGGAAGAAAACTATAAGATTAAATACTATATCATATCGGCACCATTCTTTTTTATCTATGTTAAGTTACTTAGTTTGGTGTTAAGTGTCAAATAACTTCACCGTCGCCGTACGTTTTCTACAGCAACTTTACTTCTTTCACTATTATTTCTTTCTGTTTTCTACAGGAAACAATATTTAAACCCTTAAATGCACTGTTTTTTCGTTTTAATTACCATAAATTGAACATAGACAAAGGGAAAAATAAAGAAAAAGAATGATTTTTCAAATGAGTCTATTGCGTAAGGAAGAAATGACTGATGTATAAATGCCATCATGCATTTAAGGGTTAAAGAAGTGAAGTTTAGGTACTTTGGAATCAACATACCTGCAACTGGGTCTTAATATGCGATATTCTGATAACACTCTGATCGGGCACGTATGAGCCGGGCACCGCGAGCTCGAAGTCCCTGCAGGCGTGCAGGCGCGCGCTCACGTACTGCAGCTCCAGTGACGTCAGCGAGCGGAACTGCGCCGTCAGCCGCCGGAACACGTGGTAGTACAGGTCCCATGCCTCGTTTAGGTACCGCTCTTCACTCCTCTCCTAGGAAAATTACGAGGAAATACCAAAAAAAGGAAAACCAAAAAAGTATGGATAAAATACAAAAAAAGCACATAATAGAAAGCCTTATCCCTGTATCAATGCAAACTTAATAAAAACTTGTTCATCTCATCGTATTGTAATAACTCAAAAACAACTTGGGTGATTTTAAAAATCTTCCACCATTAAAAAGCTATGTTATCAGTGTACATAAGCTATACTTTTTTATCATTTCGTAAGTTCACGCGGACGAAGTCGCGAGCCACAGCTAGTTATTTTTATACTTGCATTGTATATGTTTTTTGTTTATTTGTTTGAAGCATGTTTTTCCCTCATAATTTTACCAACTGCGTAATCAAATTTATATATTTTTCTTCTGAATGGATTAAATGATTTTATACTTATAAGGTCCTGTCCCACCAAATTGTAATTTGTCTGATAACAATCCAAGATGTAAAATATGTGTTGGAAATATCGAATTTTGTTCCCTTATTTGATAGTGATATCATTTTAAAGCTATCTGAGCCTCTATCAGCCAGTGGTGGGACAGGCCCTAAAAGTGCTAAAAATTTAGCAACACATTTTCGCAGCATTAAATAAAGCTACAGAATTTTGTATCAAATGTTTTCTCACCTTGTAAAGTTCGCACCATCTCTGCGCTTCTTGTAAATCTCTTCCATACATTTGTAAGAATGATACTTCCTTCAATGTTTCCGGAGCTCGTTCTAACATTGTGTGCATTTTGTCCAGCGTTCTGAACATACCTCGGTAGTCTTTTTCACTGAAATACAATCTGCAGACAGACAAAATTTAAATTAAAACAAAAACTCCCTAAAATAGAAAGCAGTATAGAAACTTTTCTGATAGTATAATATGACAAGCAAAACTAAAAACATAATGGGATTTATTCTTACCTCGAAGCCTCATCGAGCGCTATAAAGACTTGTTCATGCCACAAGATGGCCACTTTGATCAATTCTTCCGATATCAAAGCGGCGTCGTTCACAAGATTCTGAGAATGACTGCACATTGTTTTCAAAATATAGTTGGCGGCAGTCTTTCTCGTTACGAATGAAGATTTTGTAGCTACAGTTAGAGGGTAAACTAAGGCCTGAGGATGGGATTTACTAATATCGATCAGTAAAATGTGAACTAATTTCGCTACCAAACTCCTCGGCGAATCAATTCTAGCTATAAGCTGTGGTATCACTTGGAGCCATATCTTAATATCAATTTGCCGTATTCCTTCAAAGAGTGCATCGTATATAGCCGGGTGATGGCCGTGGTCAAACCATAGAGTAAGAAGTCTCAACGTATCCTGAAGGGAATTTCCATTCGACAGACTGATAGATTTAAAGAACCCTTCGATAGCTGGTATTGTATGTGTATTTATAAAATCAGCTCTGGAGACTTTTTTCTCTCCGGAACCACCAGCGAGGCTGCTCTCAGATATATTATCCTGCTGTTTATAGAAAAGGACAGTTTCGAAGTTCATGCAGGCCCACGCGTGACATGCTTTGTACCAATCAGGGGCCAGCATTGTCGCCGCTGAGTAATTCCTTAATATTTCTGGAATAGACAGCTCGTTGATTTCCTGAAGCGACTCGCACCAGGAGCCTAACTTCAAATGACAGCGGGCGAGCAGTTTGCAATGATCATCATTTTCCGGTTCTGAATTATCTACGAATCTTTGCAACACATCGTATGCGTAGCGTTTATTTCCTCCTTCCCATAAATTCTTACTGTAAGCCAATACGATTCTCGGATCCTGCATTCGAAGTATATCTGGATTCGTGTAGGGATCGCATCCCAAAATAGAAAGAACAATCTTATGAGCTTGGGTTATTGAACCAGTTTTTCGGCAAAGTGAAGCGAATTTTAGCCAAGTCTGAAAATCTTCCCGAGGTGTCATAACGAGGCTTCGTATTTGAAGCATCTTACGCCAGTCTTCAACTAAACGCTGACCTCCTTGTAGTCTCGCCCACCATGTTCTATGAATTGTACTTCTTCGTTCTTCCACCAGTTTATACGTTACAACTTCTTCTAGTTCTGTCAGCAACTGCGCATTGACCAGCGCTCCGTACGATCTTTGGTAACTTTCACTTAACACTGAAGTTAATTCGCCATCGAGTAAAGACCTCGCAGCGTCTATGTAATGCCTGGACTCCGGCCACTGACCTTCGTGAATTGATAAAATAGCTCTGTAAAACGCGCCATCTTGGCTGTCTTCTGGAATACAATCCACATACTTTTTCATAGAGTCCCATTCCTGTAAGCCCCATGATGCGGCCGCGGCGATCTTTGCTGATTTCGTTTTAAAATCATCACTTATATCATCCCATTGATCATTAGTAATATTATACACCTTCCTCCATTCCCCCATTGCCTCCAAACACCTCATCATGCCCAATCTCGACTCAGTATCTTGTGGTTCAACTTCTAATTTCTTGTCATACAGATCTAATGCTTGTTCCCAATTGTGTAGTTTTTCATACCAACGTACGTGGACATTTAGAGAACAATCGCCATTTTTCTTTTGAGTGATCACCTTTTCTAGTAAGCCATTGGCTGCTTCTTTCTGTTGAAGTTTGTTATTAATATGTATGAGAGCTTCAACGACCTGCGTTGTTGGATTTCGGCGATACTCTTCTTCCTGAAAAATTTAAGAGTCATAAGAAAAACATTAATTAACGTAGAGTAAACAAGAATTAAAGTGTAATACCTTATAGTACAATGCTTTAGCGTACGCCCGGCAACTGATTGCGGTGTCTCCGAGTAATTTTATTGATATAGGCAGGACGCCTTTTTCACAATGCTCCAAAAATTCAGCCAGATTTAAAACAGCTAATGACAACTCCGGAACATCGGGGACTGTAAGTGCACGTTCCAACGCCATCACGAGCTCCCTACGAGGCTGCTCGCCGAGCTCCGTCCAACAAGACATGAATGCCGCGTTGAACAAGTCACTCGCTAATTGAGGGTAGTTTTGAGATAAAGTCGAACATGCCCTGCAAATATTTTAAGTGAGTTAGGAAACTTATAAAGATGAAGAACCTATTGTAAACTTAATACTATCAACTTATCGCTATACTAAACAATCTGATAGTAATACCTAATGGCGTGACTGTTGGACTCTGTAAGGAAGCCAACGCTTAGTCGACGTAACCATTCCAACCAGTCTTCTTTAGATATCAGGTTAGTTGTCGACCAACACTTGCGTAAATTCTTTACATTTAGAGTCAACTTTTGAACTTGTGTTTCGCTTGTATTCCTCATTACCTACAAATATTTAATTGACACTCGGTAATCAACATAAACACTTCACATATTTACACAAACTGGTACTTACATCACTTTTCTGGTTTCGTAACCTCGATCTAGTTTCATCCAAATAATCATCATCCGAAGCGAGAGTAGAACTAACTTGAAGCCGTGTTACCAGCACTATATAACTAGGATAGTGTATTTTGTGTTTCTGTAATATTCTATCGATGGATGGAATATAATCTATATATTCACGACCCATTTGAACAATTAAAGCACACAACGTATTCATCGCAGTTTGTCTTAAAGCTGGATTATTATCTAATACTTTTGCAGTAGCTTGTATTATAATCGCAGAATAAGGTTTCAAATATAAATACACAGATAAATGTTCGATAGTCTCCAAAGCCAATTTCGATATAGATGTCGGAATATTTCGACCGTCAAACAGAGCGGTAACAGCTGGTATGACGGACAGTAAAACATCGTCTAGATTATTCTCAAACTTCTGTATAGCCAATAACAGTTTTTCTGTTAGAAATTTATCTTTTGTTCTGTCGTATTTTAATACTCGCAATATATTTGGTAGAATCTTTCTCAGATAAACTTTAAATTCAGTACCAATCGCTACTGTAATATGTTCGACCAATAAAATCAGAGTCGGTTGGAGTGGGCTATCCGGTGTCCAATATTCTCTAATTATATCGAATATTTCTTCTAAATATGCTCGTATATGAATTTTTACAACTGATATTAGTTGTGCCAATTGAGTGAATAAAAATTCACGGAAGTTACTATTGTCGGTTGTACGAATTACATACAAAAGACTGGGGGTTACTCGAGAAATATATGGGACACATTTGATACCCAATGTTTGGAAAATAAAAGTCACTGAGTGTACAACACTGGTGTGATGTCTGGCCAACATAGGATCACGTAACATCCTCATCAAAGATGTGACGGCAATAGCCGGATAAAATTCGTCCAAAACTAAAGGTGACATGTTGACTAGCATATCACCCACGTTAATGTCGAAATTTTCGTAATTCGCCGTCGTTTCTGGTATCGGAATTAGAGTGGACATTGTTTGAAAATCTATCAACCCTTGATTTACTCTATGTTTGTACGGATCTAGTGCGCCTAATAAACCCAAAATCCGTATAGTTTCCGTCCGATCACCAGTTTGTTGTTCAGTCTTTAGGAAATTTAAAAGCATATCCATTAAATGTGGATATTCCATGTAAGGTGTAACCACATACCCTATCGCACTGATCACTTGTCCAAATGACCATAACGTTATACTTCTTTTTTCAATTTGATTGGGGTCTGCCAGTATTTCTAATTGAATTGATATCAGTTCTGGTAGCCATTGAGTTAAAGAATTTCCTCCGCCATTGATTTCAGCAAGATCTCCTATAGCTTTCAATATGGTTAAAATCATAGTTGAATTTCCAGTTTCTTCTCGTAGTTTCGGTACGAGAACTTTTAATATAGTGTCGACGAATTGTCGAGTAATCCTTGGCGCATGTGATATAATATTGTTAACCATTCTAAGAGACTGTTCTTTATTGCGTGTTGATTCCGAGTGCTGCAACTCTATAAGAATTTGTACGAAATATTCTCTTAAAGTTGGAGTTGTGTAACTTGGGTTAATGTTACTCAACCTACTGACTATGCACAATGCTAACTCACTTACTTCACTATTGGAATCATTTATTGCAACAAAGAGACTATTGAGGTGTTCTTCGTTTGCTAAATATTTATCAAATATTGGATTGGTGAATACTTCTAGAACTTTAAAGCGTACTTCTTGATCAAAATCTGATCTACCGACAGCTAAAAGCTTTCCTAACGATTCATCAACGATCAGACTCAAAGTGCGAGAGTTTGTTTGAGCGCATCTTTCAATTGCTTTAATCAACAATTTTGCAGCTGTTTTAACAGTTTCCAGCCGAATGTCATGCTGTTCGCTTTGTAAATAATAATCTGTGCATCTTCTAATGAAAGACATTAATGTATTATTCCATTCAAAATCAAAGGCACCGAGAGTGCGCAGCGCTAGTACCAATTTGTTAGCATCCTGAGGTTCACCTAACAGAGCAGTTGATAAAACATGAGTAAAATGCTGCTCTGAATTATTACTCATATAAGGTTTCTTTCTAAGTATCAGTGAAAGAATATTAAGCAATCGATCTGTTATTTCCAGTTTCAGTGATGGTAAATTTTGGCTTAGTTCTTTAAAACATGTTGTTAGTTGTGGACTTAAACCTGTCGCACACATCGGATCTAGAAGCTCTTTCACCTCATTAGCCACATCTTCTTTCATTGCGAATCCTAATAACGTCACGCAATTAAATAATGGTGTATCTGTACCATTACGTTTCTTTGGCACATCTTTAACTGGTAATGTCAATCTTATGATTTCTATAATTCTACCTAAATATATTTGAATGTCACACTCAACGGCAACACAGACTAGACCGAGTGTTGTAAAAGCCATAGCTTTTTCCTTTTCTCTACCTCTTAAAAAGGTAATTAGGTGATTTATTGTAGACTTCAGATGTTTCTTTGAAAAAGCCTCTCTATTTAAAGCAGCCAGTCTTGGTATTATAAGCAATAACATTTGATGAACACTATGTGATCTTGATATCTGTTGCGCCATTACCTCTGGAATAAACAATCAGTGTCACTAAACTATATTAATTCACTTGTGCATTCACCTATACAAAAGCTATCAAAAAGATAAAGAAATAAACTTACCAGAAGCTATCTTTTCATATTTTTCAACAATAAGTTTTCTACAAATACTTGACTCATAAATGCCAATCGAAGTATGCTTTTCCTCTAAACTTTGTATTGTCCATGAGTTGTGCATCTTCGAACTTAAAGAGAACATTTCATCTGACACATCTTGTTCTGTATCCAACTTCTGCATTAGCATTGTGTATTTCTTCTCCCAAGCAGCATTGGAACATCTTAACAGTTCATTTAAAATTAACAAAGCACCATGAACATGTTCATCTCTACTTAAGCCTCTTTCTCTAACAGTGTTATCAGAAAATGATGTCATAGCTTCTTCATAGCATTCGGAATACCAGTGCACTTTATTACTCTGATCTGGTTGCTCTCTCTGTGATGTCACTACAAATGCTGCCCTTAAAGTTTTTGCCGCTAATTCACGTATCTGTTCTTTCGGATCCCTGAGAGCACTGTGAATGTTATTGAAAAACCCACCAATATTTTGGTAAAAATATGAAGGCATAGCAATTGCTAGTTCCCGTAATATTAAGACAGCTGATAATCTCTTACTTTCACTTCTCTCTTCAGATAACCACTCATATGCTCTTTTAATTTCAACTTCTACATACTCTCCCCTCTTTACTCCAAGAGACACTGCCAAGCGACCCATAGTCTTGGCTGCCAGCTCCAATATACTGACATCATTAGATGGGAATATATTTCTCAAGTATTGAGCATAACGGTTTAGCCTCGTTTTCGTTGTCTCAGTATCCCCTCCAATAAGACAGACTGAAACAAGTAAAATAAATTTTAAATCAATGGTGTTGGAAAATGGTTGGCATATAAAGCTAAAAAATTATGATTTAACTTTGTATAGTAATTATATAACATAATATAATAAACATTACATAATTAATTTAATTATTATTATTTAATTTATGATTTGAAGAAGCAATAACCTCAAAATTACCTATTGTGAGTATCCCAGCTTTCTTTTCATTATTATCGTAGCTGGATGTCAGTGCATGTATATGCTGGTTAAAATCATCCAAGACTTGAGTTAAAGCATCTTGAGACATTTCTCGTAAATCAGTCCTGGCAAAATGTAATAACTCTCGAATTGCCTTATGCCGAGTCTCTGCATGGCGCGATTTTAATCCAGATACCAAATCCAATATTTGATAAGCAGTCATTTTGGATAATACTTAAAAACTATTTATTAAGGAAAAAAAAGTTAAGATACATGCAAAAAAACTTCACAATACACAGTAAATATTTTTAAAATATTAATTTTCTCCATATGTCGAACGGTGATTACATTACTAAGACACTTAAAACTACAATACAATAGTGTTATTTCTAAGGCGAGTTTTTATTAAAATAAAATATAAACAATCTAAGTTATGGAAACTGCTTTATCTTGCTGTTCCGGATTTGTTTTTGTTGAAATTATTATTTCTGAAATTGAGATGACTTTGACAAGTGACAGTTTGTTATTGTTGCCAAAAATGTAAAAATGCCTTCCCAATCCAGTCATATCATATTGGACCTCTTAGCTTAAATCTTGCAGCTAAGTTATAAAACATTACAATTAGGGGAGTACAAGATAAATTGGTGATAAAAAGAGAGAAAATAGCAACATGAGCAACAAATATTTTGCACAATAAAAGATTATCAGGATCTAAAACTTTAATTATTATTATGTTTTTCAATAATTTATGTACAAAATCGCAGTTAAATTTTGTTGTTTTAAGTGCCCTGTTATTATGTCTTGACGATATTAACAACACCGAAAATAGACTTTTACACACGGAGACAAAAATATTATCAAGAAAACAAGAAAATTAACAAATCACAGTTGTTTTTGTTGCCAGCTGTTAGCTGTTGTCAAATATATTACAGATAATTAATTTCAGTACGTTTGAAAATAATAGCATTGTTGTGAGGATGACGCGTGTATTTTCAATACTTTCTCGTCATCTAGACTCTAGACCACAAATGTCAAATAGGTAACCATTCGACTCAGCTGTGCCTGTGCCCAGCACAGAAAGGTGACTGACTGCTTGACGTTAAGTGGCTTGCTCCGTTGTTCTTTCTGATTGAATATTTTTCAACACAGTGAAGAAATTCTGTTAACTATCGATTAAACTCGAAGAACTAACGTACGTCATGAGTGAATTGAGTCAAGAAGAGGTAAACGAAATATTTATTTTGTAAACGAACCTTGGCGTTGAGCGTATGGCCAATCTAATTTCGTAACAAAACAAAGCGTTTGTGTAGTGATGTTTAGTATTGATGTGCGTCAAAAATGTACACGTGCTGTAAGTGATTACATATTTGTTACAGATACGACGACGTCGTTTAGCGCGACTAGGTGCGCTCGGAGCTACCGCCCCATCCCCTGCCCCTGGCAGCCCTCCACCTACTCCGGGTGCCTCCTTGACTAGCACTGACACAGCTAATGTGCAGCAACCTTCGTCTCGCTTATCACCGTCACCTCGGGGTTCCACAGAATCGAATACATCATCTGACAGTGCTACCATAAATAGAGAGAATAACTTTGCAGATGGAGTTAGTAACAGTGAAGTGCCAGATCAAAATAAAATACCATCGGATAGTTTGATTGTGACAGAAAAAACTGAAAATAATTTGTTGGATGAGATTCCAGATACAAAGATGACTGATCTCTCACAAACCAGACAGTACAACAGTTTTGATTCCATGGGTGAAGATACATTGTTAAGTTGTGGGTCAGTGCGTGTAGGTAGTTTACCTCAGTCGACTGTGAGTGGCTCTGAAGGTGCATCAACAAGAGAGGACAGTACCTCAAGGTCTATTTCTCCACCTCAGTTTGTGGAGCCACCTCCGGTGCGCCCACGGACTTATGCATCCCCAAGTTGCTCCCGTCGCTCCCTCTCAATGGAAGTGGATGATGTATCAGAAAGAAATTCACAATCAGAACAGTCACAACAAGAACCTATGGATGTAAGTATTAATCAAATTATTGTTTTTTTTTTGTTTGTTTACTATTGTCTAATTTGATAAGATCCTATAAGACTTCTTTGTATTCTTTCATCAAAATAATTTTCTTTGTTTTTGTATTTAAACACATTGTTACATAAACAATTTGCCAATTTCATTCCAAAACAAAGTGATATCAATGATTAGTTACATAACTAAGAAGTGTTTATATTACATCTGTATAGAATAGAATTATATACTAAATTTGTTGCTACAAACTAATATAGGTATAAAGAAATTTGTATTTGATATTTACTTGTATTGAAAGAACTCAAAAAATTACTGGTCATAGTTACTCCGTTCTTACATTAGACAGATACATAAACATCAATAACTTTTTTTTTGAATAAACAAGATGATTTGGAACAAAAAGATATTACTTACAGTGCAATTGTACAATGTATTAGATATGAATTAATTATTATTATATAGGCATTGTTGACTACCGGTGTTCTCGCCGCTTGTATTATTAAAAAAAAAGTATTCACACACATAATTCAGCTTTGTTTACTCAACATTAGATAGAAGAAGATCCATCACAGTCACCAGCAAGAAAGATCCACAGAACAAGAACAGTGAGTAGCACTGAACTTTCTGAAGAGCAACTGAGAATTATTGTTTCCAAGATACTGCAAATATCATGGTCTGAAGAGATTGTGGGTGAGTACATAGTTTAAGGAATTATTCCCAAGTGTCAGCCCAATCTGTCCCCACGAGGGGACAAGTGAGAATAAAAAGTTTTATCCGTCCCACCGCTTAGTCTCACTATCACCAATAAGGTGACAGATAGAACCGTTAAGAAATAAAATAAGTTCCAAATGTCCCCTCATTGCAAAAGGGACAGATGAAACTTTTTAATCTTATCTGTCCTCGTGTTGGGACAGAGCGAGGTGACGGTTGAGATGCCTTTATTTGTTAAGTGATAGAATTAGTAATTGTCTTGAAAGGTAAAAGTAGCTTCAACATTTGTGACTAGAATTTAGATATAATTAGAAATAATTTGTACAATCCTTCAATCATACTTCTTTGGAGGGATCACGGTAAAGCCTAAGTTTATACTTTAAAAAAATAGTGAGTAGTAGTCTGCATACACCTGAAAATCATGGAAGTCTGAGAAAGAATATTATGTTCTACATTAATTGTAACAGACCAATAACACAAGCAAGTTCTTTCAATTATAGTATATTTTTTGCAGGAGGGATGTTTGTACCTATAGTAGCTGCAATGTTACTTGACAATCCTAAACTTAGCTTAGAGGAATTAGCATCTGAGGCTCTCATTGATATCATCACTCAGCTCGAGGATGGAGCTGATCCATTAAATCAGAAACTAATCGCAATCGCTGAAACAACCAAAAGACTGATGGAAGACTGTGGGGATGATGCCTTGTCGAGTGGACCCCTAAGTTCCGAGACAGATAATCAAAAAGGTGGTAACACCGTAAACGTGGTTCTCCCCAAGACTATCCCGACACAAGGTTTAGCTGTTAGCTATCTTTTACGATTCTTCAATAATATTAATCTTTACTCAAGAGATTTTCCAAAGAAAGCTTCAGAACCACCTTTGAGGGATTTATTATTAAATCTAAGGACCTTAATTGTTAAACACTTGGTGTTGGTGCTCAGAGGGAAATTTAATTTAGAAAAATGCAGAAAATCACCTTTGTTGCCTTACATCTTAATCGGTAGCACACCAATCGGCCTAATTCCTGAATTACTTTTGGCTACTTATTTAGAAGAATCTTTCGAAGAGGTAATTATACGTATATTTTATTGTGTGTGTGAATGCGCCTTATATTTGGCGACCAATTGACATAACATAATAAAACACATCAACAGGTGTTTGTGCCACTATTATTGGGAATAAGAGAGGAGATGCGTCGCAGCGTGTCCCCGCTGAACGGGCGGGGTCATGGACAGGCGCTGCGAGCGCTGCGCTCCTTGTGCGAGCTGCGCGCGGGGCCGCGGCACGCGCTGCGCCCCATCTGCACCCTCATCGTGCGCCTACCCAGTCTCTGCCCACCCTCCGTCACCACCGCACCCGGCAGGGAAATAGCAAGAGCTAGCTTCTTAGGACCATTCTTTGCTGTAAGTAATACTTCGATATTGGGAATTGAGGCATAAAATTTTCTAGTTTTTTACTATTTTTTTGGTTAATGTACATTTTGTTATTAGGATTCTACAATAAGTTGACTAAAAATGTTAACACAGGTATCACTTTTCGCGGAGGAGAATCCTCGCCTCGCGGAACGTTTGTTCGCGACGGGGTCCAGCGACCGCAGCCTCGCGTTCGCTCTGCAACGCGAATTGGAAGCTAGCAGGAATACTCTCCACACTATTTGCCATAACATACTGCTCTGTCCTGAAGCTAGAGAACCCTTCCTCAATTACTTTGCGGAACTACTCCAAAGAAATGAACACAGAATTCGCTACAGAAACGATGACAGATCATTAGCTGGTGAGTTTTTTCAACCATTCATACTATTACGATAAAACTTAAAATATATTGCGACCTTTGTTTCAATATGAATAATTTCTAGGTGTAAAATTGTAGGAATGTGTAACAACGTTTTTCGAAAATATATAAATGTATATACATCGCATACAACACAACACAATGTACTGGTTCTGTTCCCAGAAATAACTTACGCGGAATTGTCATTAACCTTCTCTGTACTAAAATGAGGTTTATTTGAACATTCAACCCGATCTTGCAACTTTGTATACTCCAGTTTTCCTCTATTGTCTAATCATTTGTCGTTTATCGTAAGTCATAATTTTCTCGAATCGAACCCCCGAGACAACATAAACAAGCGTTTATCTTCAACATTACCGTTTTGCATACAATCAATGAATTAAATTATTATGGGACGCAAAATAACAGCAATTTGTATCCGAAATGTCGTAAATACGTATAAGTGATTAAAAGGTAAGGATTGTTGAGAGTAATATGGTGACCGATTCTAATTTTATAGTCCCAGTGTTATCTAAAACGAATGAACGTTTAGTGACGTCCGTTTCTATAAGTGATACGTAACCGTTCTCATTGCGTAAAGGAAACTACGCAGGACAAACACAAAGTATGGAGGTGGCGTTTGTTTATTTCTTTGTTTGTAAATAATTAAAATATATATACCTCAATTTCGACAATTCGGAGATTTGTAATATAATTCGTAGAATGATTTTCAGCATGTTTGATAAATCTGTTTTTAAAAAAATGTTACGTCTTACATTCGTGGACTTACGCCAATAGCAGCTTTCTCCTAACTGCAAATTTTAAAAAAAAGTTGATTGTTTCGTTACGTAAAGTTGTCGTCAATTGTTTATTAAGGTTATGCAGCTCGCGAATAGAGGATCGTCCTTCGCTGCATCTTTATCTTTGCTCTCATGTATTAAACACGCTGAATTATTTGGCGTATAAATTTTGCCTTAATACGCAGCTACATCGAAACAAAGGATCGGATGATCTGATTTTTATAATGTAAACCTTAAATTGTATTGTTACATGCAGACTAGATTTAAAATTTCTTTGAATAAATCTTGTCAACACAAATCGGTCAAATGTGTACAGTTTCTGATACAGGCAAACGTTATGTAACGAAACTTATCCGACTTTACTATGTACATAATTGTGTTTCACCTAACTTATGTAACAAAAACAATATTTCTGTGGATTTACTTAATGATACATTCATCTATATTTCTATACTAATATTATAAAGAGAAAAACTTCGTTTGATTGTAATGAATAGGCTCAAAAACTACGTGGCCGATGTTAAAAATCTGTGAGTAACATAGGCTATGCTTTTTCATTTCTTTATTATTACTTTGGAATTTCACGCAGATGGAGTCGCGGGCAAAAGCTAGTTTATAATATTTAGGTAACATATTTAACACATTCCATACTACAGCAATTTTTAAACTCCTCAGGCAAGTTGGTGGCACTAAAGTGTTAAAACCACACCAAAATCGATATGCAATTAACTATTTAGGGAAACCTTTGTGAGGAATCAAGGATATCTGTCGGTTATAACAGACAATGTGCAAATTTCCTGTTAGTAATTAGTAGTAATTAGTAATAACACGCTTTAATAATTTCAGAACTAATGATTCCTAAAAATTCATGAAATGATCCATTATTTATTTCCAAATGTAAGACTAACTCTAAAGTTTGACGGATTTTGTCATCACGTCTAAAAAATAATCTTCAGTTAATAATTGTCTGACATAAAGGGCTTATCACGAATAGTCGTGAGATCGCTTTCGTCACGTCATCGACAAAATTCGTATTAGATTTGTGCATCACCAACAAATATCATACAAATAATTTCGATGACGGTACGAATCATTCTTGAAACTGTAATGCAATCATTCGTGATAGACCCTCAGATGTTTTAATTGACTAACGAAAATAAATGTATACTTATCATCGTGTGTCGCTGACTTCGTAGTAACATCACTGTCTATTGGCTTTACTCCAATGTATTTATTTCCGCTACGCGATGTCGTTCGCCTGTTTAGTAAGAAACGTTTGTTTACTGTTTGGAATTTCATGTAAACTAAAATGTACTGCGTCATTGCATCTGTCGCACAGTACCACCGGTTCGAGCAAACACAATTATTTTTTTCTTAAATCTTGATGAGAAAAAAAAAACAATTAGAACATTAAAATACGTAAGGAATCTATACTAATATTATAAAGAGGAATGATTTTTATTTTTGCTATTATTGTATGTATTGAAATAACTAAAACACTACTGGGCAAATTTTAAAAATTCTTTCACCATTAAAAAGGTAATTTGTCTATATATAGGCTATATTTTTTTTTTAAATTTCACTCGGGCGAGGTGGCCAGCAAAAGCTACTAATTTATAAAGAGTGTATAATTTTTTAACAACTTCTTGTTATATACATACAGGAATTTCGGCGTCAAGTTAAATAACATTTCAAAACTATAAACAATTGTTTTTAATTGTTCACAGGCGATGGGTTCATGCTAAACGTATGTTCGGTGCTGCAGCTGCTGTCTATCCGCATCAAGCTGGAGCGCGTGAACCCCTTCTATACTTTCCAGCCCAACACCTGGATAGACATCCGTGACGACACCCGCCTCTACTACACCTCGCAGGAGGCGCAGGACTGGCTCGACGCGTTGAGTAAGTAACGGCTATAAAACTATTTGAAATTAGAACCCGCCTCTTAGTGACGTCACATCTGTCAAATTAAAAAACATCTGAATGATCTCTGTACAGATAAAAGCTGTACACTTTCTTTTGTTTTAGTCTGTATATTACTATCGATTGTTGACACATTTATATAATTTCACGCATGCATTCTTATTTGAAACGCATAGTCGTACTAAGCGAGCAAATATAAAATAAGCTGTGGTATAAAATGATTATTACAACATTGGTTAGAGGTTCCATTCAAACCAGTTAAACGTATCAAGATTGTATATCATTCAATCATGTATATTTATATAATGTGACATATGCAACTGATTACTATGTTACTCAGCAGTTTTTCCAACTATCTCCTTAAAGTCACTACGATAATGGCTGATGATAAACGGCGCTTTTAATTTGTTGCTGTAAATTGAAAAAAAAAGTAAAAAAATCAAAATTTTAAATTTGGAATACCTTTTTTATTCCAAGTAATCTCAGTATTAAATGTCAGTTACACGTTTAAGACCTGGGTTTGAATAAAAATTAAATTAGTTGCACAGTATAGTTACGCAACTAAAAACTATTTATAAGACTGCGAGCGACATATACAAACAACATATTAAACATGAGATTAGTTCTTATACCCGCGAAAATGTTGTATATTTTTTATTAGATTGGGAATCCAAGTCTAAATCGCTTATAATTCAGTGTTGATGTTTTCTCATTTTAAGAGTATCTTATTATTAAACGAGTTTGTAATACAAGTAACAATAAACACGACTGCAATTAGTGTAACAAAACAACCTACGCGGCAGCGACTTAAATCGGTAATTGAGACTAAATTGTTAATTGTTTCATTAGTGTTATTTGAAAACGCCTCCAGGGTTTTATTTCGTATTCGTGTAGTTTTAAATCTTTTAAATTCTCTCTTTTATGTATTACTTGTCTAGATAGAACATTGACTAGACTTTTTATAGTTTGATGTGATAAATAGGCAAGGTAACTATCAACTCTGACAACTCGTTTGAAAACTCCAATTATAAACGTAAGATTACGTCTTTTACTAATTCAGAAAATACGAAAATATGATTTAAATACTGAAGATACGTAATATAATAATAAAAAAAGTTACTAATTAGTTATGTATGATTTAATTGCAGACAAAGACCCGAACCACAAATGGCCCGAGGCGAAGTTCCAGACGGTCTGCTGGTTCCTGACCCTGCACATGCACCACGTGGCTCTGATCCCCGCGCTGCACACGCATCAGCGACGCATAAGGTATTCTTGCCAGACACATTGCTATAATTATTGCGACACATTAATAGCGGGCACAAAAAGTCCATAGAGAGGGTTGTTTAGTCGGTAACGGGACTCATGCTAGGTTAGGTGAATACTAATGAGCCTGAGTCCGACACACCAGGTATGTAGCTCCCATGTCTGACGGTGCTGCAAAGCAATTTTTCCCTCTATAAAAAAAAATTAACAGCGGGCGTACACTTTTGACTAAACTATAGCACAACTGTTGTGCGATTTCGCGGCCAATTCAACTGTTTGCACAACTAAAAATCGAGTAGTGTGCGCTTTTTCATATAAGCTCATAGGTATCAAGCAAGATTAAACAGTTGTGCGATTTATTACACATATGTTGCATTTATAATTATATTCCTATGTTGATTGTCATACACAAGACGGACTTTGACTTGTTTACATCAAGGTATTATATTGGTATGCAAGATATATTCTAACTGAATTAGAATTATCATAGATTGACTTACTTGTTGTATTGCATTTATAAAATTTGTTTATTGATGATCGTGTGACGTGCAGTTACTAGGATATACGTTTGTACAGTTTTTTTAATGTAAACTCCTACGATTTTTAAGGCTACGATTTTTTAAATTTTTTGAAGGCCAATTCCAAGTTGTCGCAGATAGTTACAAATATATGTTATAATGAAATTCAGTCCTTGTAAATTGTATTACATTACACTTATATAAAAATAAAGATCACCTTCCACTCATGTATGATACTCCATTGATGTATGTCATAGTGATGAGACGTGTGTGTGTATGTGATTTATTTATAAATGAACTAGCTTTCACCCGCGACTCCGTCCGCGTGAAATTAAAAAAAAACAAAAGTGAGTAGCATATGTGCCCTTCCAGAGTATCCTCTAAGTATATACCAAATTACATTGAGATCCGTTCAGCCGTTTAGGCTCCTCAAACTACATCCATCCATCCGTCTAAACTTTCGCATTTACAATATTAGTAAGATTTGTTTGTATGTTTGTCGTGTCAGAGCGTTCCGCGACCTGCAGAAGGTGATAGAGGAGCTGATGGGCGCGGAGCCGCAGTGGCGCAACACGTACGCCGCGCTGCGCAACCGCGAGCTGCTGCGGCGCTGGCGCAGGCAGATCAAGAGGCTGCAGAGGTTACCCCACATCTCTATACACTTTTTACAATTGAAATAACTAGGTGTTGCTCGCGACTTCGCCTGAAGCTTCGCCTGGAGAAATGACAGAAATAGCAAAAATGTAGCTTATGTTACCCATTTTTAACAGTGCAAATTTTTTGAATTCGGTCCAGTAGTCTTTGAGTTATTTCAAAATCAATATAATTCTCTCAACTCTGCCAACTTAATTTTAATTAAACCCGCAAAATCATTGTTATTTTTGTTATGTGATTGAAATGAACTATTCTAACATTGTCTAACAGACCGTTTCAAGTGTGAAAGTCATACTGTTTTATCTATGTTCGACTGTCACTATTAATGTCAACGAAAAAAATTTTATATTTAAAATATTGCATTAAATAGACATCTTTACTACCAGGTCAAAACAATGTGCGGAGACGGCGCTCCTGGACCATG